CCAATCGTTTTTGTTCCAATCAATTTTTTCATAGATATCACAACCATCGAAGCATCAACTTACAAGATAGACTCTTGTGAAAGGTGATATAGTGAATGATCGATGATAATTTTTGATACGGTTGCATTCACTAATAGTAATCCTTTTTCAACCAGGAGAGAAGTCATTCGGTTGATCGTAATCTAAGTGAAACTAAAATTATTCTTATTAAGGATGGATTCTTCTCCTACTTCACTTTCTTTGTTAGTCAGCACCCGATTGACCATAGTACCTCAAGATCGTGTTAGAAATGAATTAGTATCATCCACTGCCAAGTCTCCACATTGTCTGGTTCATGTATTCTATCTAGATGAAAGTGAAAATTCAAGAAAAATTAATTTATCATGAATGTTTGATTATACGAACAGTTATCATCGCCAGTACTCTTTGTGGAGTTACTCTGTTTATATTATAGTTGATATCGCGACAAGGCATCTCAATGATGATTGCGTGATACATGCATGATTTAAATAGTACCAACAATTTTATTCGTCTATTTTACTAACTTCAAAATAAAACTGTTAGAGTTGATAAGCACGAAAAGAATGTGCTATCAACCAAATCGGTCCTATCAGCAGTCTGTTCAATTATATACTTTTAATTTCGAGATTAAATTTGAGATTTTCTTCGTAAATCCCAGTCTATAAAAACTGAACAATCCCAACGACAATCGCCACAATTGGCACAAGTGTTCTGGTCTGAGAGCATGAGCACAGAAGAAAAATCTTTTGGATTTGTGGCGAGATTGAATATTATGCCATAGTTGAATCTTAGTTATGAAAAATATGTTCATTTATGTTTTATCTTTTAAACAGATCAGCAATATCTTAAATCAAATATAACTAACATAAATATTGACTGAATAGAACGACCGTCAATACAGTGTTCATTAATTTTCGTTTTTTCAAATGAAATCCCAATTTCAAAAGACTAGTGAAAATCACAAAATAAACGAATAACTATAACAAATACTTTGTTCATCTATTATACTTTTGTGCAGAACAAAAGTTTGAAGACATAGTGTTATTAATGGTTGAATGAACACTGAAAATTTCTAACATAACTGAGCGTAAGTACCAGGTGCAGCAAATTCTTCCTTTTCTAAATGCAAAATCCAAATAAAAAAAATAAACTGAAAATGAACTTACAGAATATATTTTTCTTTATGAAATAAGACTATTAATTACGGCTAAAATATGTTACAGCAAAAGCTGGTATTCTCCGAGTTGTGTTATGGAGCTATGTATTCCCAATAGGAAATCTCTCTTTGAGCTTAACATGCCCACCTGGGATTAATACGAGTTCCACCCGTATAAAAAAGAATAACTCATCAAATCAGGATCCACCGATCATGCAAATATGACGGGTCGAGAGAAATATCAATAGTATCACACATAAATATAAAAGCAATATGCATGAGTATTATTTATTGGTCCATTTTTAATTCCCGCACCATGATCCGTTTTCACAACATTTCAAAGAGTTGGAAAAGATAAAATTCTTTTTTCAAGATACTTGGGCATATTCTAATTGTTAATTGACTTTGGAAGCACTTTGAGCTAAGCCTCGCCTATTAAACTCTACTGATATCCCCTAACTATTGGGCACCATTTACATGGTTGTGCATTTACACTAACACGAAGCAAATCTCAATATATTTCATGGCATTCCATTGTGTTCGATTTTTACTCAAAATGAATAAAATCATACTAGTATACAATAAGCAATTGGTATGGTTAAAACTTAAATAGCTCAAAAGTAGTTGAAATAAATCTCGCTGGAATTTGAACAGTCACAACTGGACGAATGAGGGATCACTATTGAGTGTATTCGACCTGACATGTACTCAAACAGACTAACTCAATTTTCACTTGACGCTATGCAAGTTTGGGGCTTACATCCTATACTACAAATAACAAACGTCTAGTCATACTATCCCAAAGATTCATGCAAGGATTGCAACTAGCGTGACAATGATTTCCATTTAAGACAAAACCTATACTCTATCTTATTTTATACTGTAATCTCACAGCTTGAATTTTTCTAATACTGCCTCACGAGTAGAAAAAATGGATTTCTTGCAAAGCCCATGACTATCAAACAGACTATTACCGTTGAATCTAAATTTCTTCTCTCAAAGAAATCCCTATTGTACTGGTTGCCAGTGTCACTATTCTCTTGTGCTTAGGTGTTTACATGTCTTTAGTTGAACACAATTTTCGTACAAAAAGTTCCGAATTTCTATCGGCGTTAATGATTTAGGTACTCCTAAAAACGCACTGTTGCCATATGTCCTAGAAAATGGAGAATGTCTCAGAAACCAACTAGTAACTACAACACAACATAAGAATGCTTCTCGTAAAGACATGAGCATAGCTTGAGAAGATTTCTCATATTTTCGACTCCTAGTAACACTTTTTAAACAAAAATAATAATTGAAAATTGCTAAGCGTTGTTGAGAACTAATAGTTTAGTTTTTCAACGACTAGTTATATTTTAACTTTGTCATACATTTTCTAAAGGTTCAAAATCTATTGCATTTGAAGAAATTGAATTAAACGTAGCCCACTTTTGAGAAAATCGCATTTTACTTATAAAGTAGTACTTAATGAAAATGTCACTAATAACTAGTTTCTTTGACAATAAGCCTATTCTATCCATTTTTATTTCGGATCAAAATACATAAGAATACAACAGGAGTTTATTAGCTAAAATCTCATATGCATAGTATTAAGCAAGATCGCATACAAATGATACACAGCAAAATGCATTCTTCTGCCAATGAGTTCACAGAGTAGAAAAAAATGATTCGATAAGGATCATCATGAAGTAATTAGAAGTAGAGGACCTCTAGTTGGTATCTTAGTAATTTTAATGAGGAAATTCGCAACGAAGTTGCCAATCCGGAGTCTACTCTAAGCTTATAGTCGATTTGAATAATGCGAAACCGAACTCTTGTATCAGTATTAATCTACGTCGCTATAGTTATAGTCTATCAGTACAGCCACAAAAGTAATTTAATTTTCAATAAATATCAATCCAGATAGTTCTAACTTTAATATCGTCTATTTAGAGTATCACGCTTCGAAAACGGCAGTACCGCGAGATATTACGTTACAAAATATGACATAACTAAATAGTTTTTATTTACTTTGAACAATTTTACTTAGAAAAAATAAGATGTTTCATTTAAAATTGATAATGGATATACTAAAATGGAAAATACTACTTTATTCTGAGTTAATTTTGTCGATAGGAAAGGTAAACGAGATGCAAAATTGAAAGTTCTATCACCAAGTAGTATAATCTGAAAGCTGTTAAACTCTGAAAAAACATTTTAGCATTCATGCATAATTCGCCAAGAAATGAGAGTGAATAATTGACTTAAAAAATTACAAATATAGCTTTTAAAGTATGATTGTTATACCAAAACGCGGAAAGAGTCCAAATGGAAGAATTAATGATTTACACTCTAAAAAAATAGGTTTTTTACGGAACTTAAAAAGGTTCTTCCCTTGGGCACACCCGAAGAACCTTTCTGGGTTCAGTATAGAACTTTAAAAGGTTTGGTATTGAAGCTACGAAACCTTGTCAAGATTTACTAAACCTGAAAGGTGTTACAGCTTACAAACCAAACCTTTTAAAGTTCTATACTGAACCCAAAAAGGTTCTTCGGGTGTGCCCGAGGGAAGAACCTTTTTAAGTTCCGTAAAAAAACCTATTGTTTTGGGAGTGTAGGTTAACAGTGAACTCTGAATATGAATAAAACAGACGTAAGAAGCAGACATTGGATACTCAGTACAATACTTGGTACTTTTACATACTAAGTACTTAAAATCTTAGTGTACATTTGCACTCAGTACAGGTACTAAGTACAATGTGCTCAGTATAATGCTGAAACTCGTACAGCGATCCTTTGAGGTATACTATTTTTCTATTTTTTCTTCTTTGCATTAGGTTTTAAGTGTTTTCTATCTATTCAATGTATTTTAATGATTCCAAAACGGCTTCAAAATCGTAAATAGCGGACGAATTGAAGCTTTTGTCAAATATTTTTTATAGATGGCAACTAATATATAAATTCTATGAATTACGTATGTGCGTCAGATTCCATGAAAAAAGCGTAAAAAAGAGATTAATATCGATTCAAACGCCATTATTTTAATTAAGTTCAAATCTGGATTGTAGTCCTACATTTTTTATTTTTTTCTCATTTGACGATTTTTTTCTAGTTTGTCTTTTTGAATGAATTTTATTGATGCATCAAAACTGATGAAATTTCAGTAATTGATTAGACCAATCAAAAACTTTTCAAGTGAGAGAAAATATAAAATTTAAAACGAAAAAAGAACAGGTTTCTATCAGATAGGAATAGTGTCATTTCAATTCATTCCAGTCCAACATAAGAAGAAATGGTTTTAATTCACGTAATGTTGTAATTTCTACCTCACGTGTTGCAATTATTCATTACCAGTTATAGAGCTATAAATTCTATTCATTTCAAGATCAGTGAATACGAAAATATGATAATGTGGATGCTAGCTTATATTCTTGTTCACACTAAAGATGTCATTAGCCAACGAAACCAATGGGCACTCAGAAAAATTATTAATGAAAACCTAATGTGAATTTGTACATTGTACTTCAGTTCGATTTATTCAGGTACATTGCACCAGATATATTTGTACTGAAGCACAATTGCACAGTACAATTGTGCACTACACAGTACTTGTACCTGTACTTCATGTACTTGTACTTGTACTGGTACAATCACTGATAAGAAGTCAGATGCATAATCTGTGTTGATAACTGAATCGTAACTTACAAACTCGATTTCTATTTTTATAAAGAATTTCAAATACACTTCCTTTTCTACAGATATTATTCGAACTTCAGTTGAATAGTATTTCTCGTAACTACAGAAAATGTTACGTATAGTCGAATATTTAATCTTGATGTTTTTACATACTTTTCGGTGGACCGACACGAATGACTGCTAAAGATTGATCACTTTCAAGAATGCCAATACTCGGTGGGTTTTCAAGTAGTTGTCGCAGCTTTTTCAGATTCTCAGCCCAATTTGTCAACTCTATTTCTGTATAATCGTCTGACTCACGACTTGTCGCTAGTTCGACTCTTATTTTTCCAAGGGAATTTTTTAATTCAGTTTTTGTATTATTTAAATATTTTTCGAGATCCGTTCTAGCTTTTCCGGCCACTTTTCGAATTTTGTTAATTGATGCATTTTCCCATTCATTGATACGTAAATGGAATGCATGCATAACATTATCTTCAGCTAGTTGTTTGTGTAGCAAATCATGTTGCTGGCCGACACGATCCATCTCTTCACCAAGACCATCTCGATGTTGCATGAAATGCTTCCGACAGAACCATTCCTCACATCCTCCACATATGGCAATACCAGGACCTTTATCACATTTAACACAAGGTTGCTTAGCTCTGCCTGTTGCCATGTGTTACTAGTTAAGAAGAGCTAAAGGTTTAAGTTTGCACGAGTCGATAGCAGTAGTAGCGTACTGTTTCAAACTTTTAGAAGATCCTAGCGTTGTAGTCGAGATGATTAGAAGATATACTAAAAAATAGAAATACGTAGATGATCAGGAAAATTTTTCCGCGCATTGAATATACTCTATCTCAGAGTGATAAGGCATAAAGTGATGTATCACCATGAAGAAGAAAATCATGGTCAAAAGAGAATATTGGAGTACGTATTTATAGATATCCAACTCTCCAAATATTAGTACTCACTTCATTCTCAATAGAGTCTAGGAGAATTTTTTCTTCTGGAATCTAATCACGACAGATTTTCATTCATGATGGCGATCACTAGCTACTTCCTATTTTTTTCAGTGTTACCGCTTCTCGAAAAGAAAATTGTGGCGTCAACAAAAAAAAATCTTTCTGTCTTTTTCAGTGAGACTCACGTGTAGAAGAAAAAAAATGAGATACCCGCATAGTATTTTCGTGCTTTTTTTACACGTAATGACATCACTGTGTTTTTATGGGCGCCACTGAATAATCGGACGAATAGTATGACTCATATATGTAGTATCAAAAATTCGATATTTTTTCTCTTAATATACGACATAAATGGGATTATCAAAAAATAGGAAACGATTCGTTTTACGTAGGATATCTTGGAGCTGGATTCGAGTATTCCGCAACTGGATTCGCCTACAGATTATACCAACACGTGAAAACGCTATGCTAAGATCGATCTCGGCGAGTTCTATCTTAGCATATCATTTCTATCTCTTGGTGTAGCCTCTACGCGAATCCAGGTGCGACATACAAGGAAGTCCGGATTTGGTCCAAGATTCATCGTCTAGGGAGGGATCTTTGCACGGAATCGGCCTCAAAAGGTGCCCATTTGATAAAACTCGGCGAATTCTATCTTAGTATAGCCTTTTTATGCTTTCGAATAACCTGTAAGCGAATCCGGTTACGGAATACTCGAATCCAGCTCCGAGATATCCTACGTTTTAGTATTCATTTATCAAGAAGAAAAAAGAATAAAACCAGTCTGCTTTTATCTTTAAAAGAAACTTTCATGTCTTCAAAAAGCCTTTACTAATTACAAACAGAACAAATGATCTACATATTCATAATATATAAAATTGCTCGTATTTCGATGAAAATGACTCATTATTTAAAAAAATTTTATCCTGCATTCACTATAATGGAACCTTTTGTTTTAAATCCTTTTATTGAAGGCAATGCATTATTTCTACATTATAAGAGGTCTACTTGTTGCCTCATTCTCTACAAAAATAATGCAAAACTATTTGATGTGTTTTATAAATTCTATGGACCTTCGAAAAAAATGTGTTGATCAAGACATTTGGTTCTCCGTTAATCACAGGAAATATGTTGTATTTGAAATTTTTCTTGCGTTTTCAACTATTGCATTCTGCAAAATATGCAATATTACTCTTTAATATATTTTCTGAAATAAAACTTGTGTCTTCTAGAAATTATCCATAAAATAGTCTATTCTTAAATTAACATTCTCTAGGAATTGATGAGAATTCAGCCAGAAATTTTGTTGCTCTTTAATCATTTTTGTTTAAATGAACCAAGTTGTTTTTATTTAACTTGACACTAAAAAAAATTTCAAACTTACTCTCAATTTATTTATTTCATAAAGAACTATCTCATTATTGATCCATTGTTTTCATGAATGTCTATTGAAGATATTCATTGGGCCGAAAACAGATCAGCGGTTCTAGCAGCAGATATCATTATTGGTGACAATAAAATACTGATGATATTTGCGGTTTTTTGTTTTGATACTCTGTTTAGCACCTTGCTTTTCATTTTATGAAAATTTCGAACTTATCAATTTTTTCACTAATAAATATTCATCAGAACATTTATTGTAAAGAAGAATGCGTTCTAAACTTAAAATAGAAAATTTTGTTTCACTTGTATATGGCAATGCATCTTTTATTTGATTATTACTTTATTTATTTTTCTAGCTGATTTGTGACATAGCAACTAAACACCCTTTGCAATCCAATTTATTCACATAGTATTTTTTTATTGTTTTTATTTCAACTTAATAATAAACAACACATTTTAAAAAGTTCTTTTAAATCTACATAGAACAATATTTATATACAATACTTCTATCATCTGTTAAGATTGAATTAAGTGATATTCTTCTCAGTAGCTCATTCTGTATTGAAAAAGTATTTAATATAATGAAACACATTGTGACAAAAGAAGAATGATTCCATGAACGATTCGTCAATGAACAAAAAAGAATGATCAATCAGAACGAAAAATGACGTTATCTATCAATGAGTCCATTGTTTTGAGATGAATATTTATTCTTCTTTGCACATTCAGACAANCTACTAGTAGAAATTGAAATTTTAGTTTCTACTATAGGTAAAATTCAGTAGAATTTCAATTTCTACTAGTAGAATTTTAAATTCTACTGAATTTTAATTTCTACTGCGACATATATATAAACACGAGTATTGAACTGAATGGATTAAACATGAATATATCGAACATGAACCGTCTCAATATACTCGACTTGCCGAATGAAATTTTATTCATTATTTTTAACAAACTCAATATGGTCGATGTTCTCTATTCATTTGTTGATATTAATCAACGGTTTGATCAATTAGTATTTGATCCATTTTATATTCGGAATCTTAATATGACCTTTATGACGATGAAATCATTTTATGATCGTATGTATTCAATAAACAATCATGTCTTTGATAAAATTTGTAAAAATGTCTTGCCTAAAATTTATCATCAAATAAATGAACTCATCGTTGAACAAAATTCAATGGAACGTGTTCTTCATAATATTAATTATCCTCAACTTTATTCGTTAACACTTTTGGGATTTTCAGAAAATGTGCTTTTCAATCATTTAACAAGTAAATTATTTAATACAATAATGAAATCATTGGAGATAAATTAATAGTTTGTTCGTTTTTTAATTAGTAAATTAAAGGTAATAAAATTCTTCGGCAACTTCTTATTGAACAAATAGCACATCTTAAAGTTGATATTAATGATGAGCCAGGAGAACCGTCTTCTGAAACTCGTGCGATGATGTTTGCTTTGATTTTATCTTTATGTAAACAATTAATCAAATTAAATTTTTGTAAATGGTTGCATCGAGCAATATACTGTACTTATAAGTTATCATCGATAAATTTCAAATCTTCAACTTTAACTACATTGAAAGTGAATGTGAAATCTTTCGATGATTGTCTTTATTTACTTGATGGACGTTTGAATTGTTTATCAAAATTGATTATAGGTATAAAAATAATTGCAGATACATCGGGAACTATCGATAACACAGTTAGTATGATTGTTAATTCTTCTCTTTCAAGAGAAAAAAAACAGTAAATTCGATAATTCAGGATTTTTTTTTTTCATAGAAAAAACTTCCCAAATTGAAACACTTCTCATTAATGTCGTATCGACATACACTTTTATATGATAGTTTAATTGTTCCATTACTTCGACGAATGGTAAATCTTGAAAATTTGATATTATATTTATCAATAATAAGAAATAACAAGAATTATATTGATGGTAATGAATTATATAATGATATTCTCATCTACATGCCACAATTAAACAAATTTACTTTCAATATACGCACAAATGTAGACAAGAAAAATGATGGAATTGTTTTTTCTTCAAATGAAGATATTCAACATAGTTTCAGAAGAAAAGAATATGGACTCGTTGGCTCGTATGTTGAAACTTTCACAACATCAGTTGAATATAAGTGTTATAGCAACTCAATGCCATATCATTTTAAAAGTAGATCCCATATCTATTCACTTCCATATCAATTCAAAACTTTTGATTTGTTAAGTAATTCTTTTCAAGGTGGCATGTTTGATAATGTTCAATCTTTAATAATGACAGACATCTATCCTTTTGAAAATAATTTCTTCGACGTTATCTCTCAAAGTTTTCCTCTATTGAAAGAGTTATATATCTTTAATGAAAAACCACAGAAGAACAAACAACAATCGATGACGTTGATTGCATTTTCTCATCTTATTGATCTCGATCTTTCTAGTGCTCATGCAGACTATGCAGAACGATTTCTTGTTGATAAACATTGTTATTTACCTTGTTTATTGAACATTAATATTCGTTATGAACCACTAGCTTTAGTTACAAACAATTTTACTGGTGATGCTACACGTCTCACTTGTAGCAAATTGACATCAGTTTGTATAGAAGAGCCGTTTGTGTCTCCCGAAACCTTTTCTAAATATTTTCCTTTATTGTAAATATTATTTTTGTTGAGATTTATATAAATAAAAGCTGATAATGCTTGAAGATTGCATATAGCTTGATCATATTGACTAGACAAAAAAATGAATAGAAAAAGAAATAGCTGTATTTAGAAATATTGTTTTAGATCACATGGCTGTATTAATGTGGTGTTGTTGTACTTTGCTATTGTTAATATTTCGGTGAAGGGTGTGGGTGTGGTTGAGTTAAAAATACAGTCACACCCACACGTTCACTTTCAAAAATTTGTTTTTAAGCAGCAAACATATCAGTGGATAATCATTTTCTGATTTCTTTCATGTTGGATAGCTTATAAAAGTTACTGCTCCTGAGCAGTAAAATTTTTAAAGTAGACTGATCAATGGTTTCACAATTGCATACCGTTGAGCTAGTGTGAATGAGTGATACTCCATGCATATATTTATGGTCTTACCTACCACCCTCTATTTTTACTGTTCTGCTTTTCAATGAAACTTCAATCAAACTCTTCTTTCTTGTGTACTATGGTATGATCATTTATTGTTATTTGATTTGATGAAACGAAGTTTCACTGACAGCTAATTTAAAACGTGTTATATTATTACTATTAGTATAACTAATGATAAATTAGGAAATATTACACGGAAAAATTGCTGAATTCTATTAGCGTCGGACAAAATAAAAGCAGGACATTATCGAGGTACATTGATTAGCAATGGCAGTAAATTTTGTGAAGGTCTATCACCTTATGATTAAAGTGCGAATTACAAGAGTCATTGTGTAGATAGGTTCACATCTTATCTTGAATTAAATTTAAATCGCAATTGCTTTTCGTACTTCTATTTCTGATATTAATGTTAAATCTAATATAGAATGGAGAATGATGCTCGAGCAACTACTTGGAGTACAATTCAGAATGTGTTGTATGCTAATGCAATATTCTTACAAGTGACTCTTTATCATTCAATCAAGGAAAAGAACCATCAGCATTGCGATTTACAGTAATGGAAAAGGCAGAGTAACGTCGACATATCTGAGAATTGCACTGACAAATTTATCATGAAAAACCAGTCGACAATGCAATATCCTACCGAAAATTGAATCACATAAAAAACGATTGAATTATCAAGCACCAAGGTAAAGTATTTTTTTCCTATTTTTTCATTCACATAACACAGTTGATTGTGAAATGCTGATAGTTGAGAATTGAAGGGAAAAGGCCAGTAGATAACATGCTCGTTCACACTAACTATACACGTAAGTCACGAAATTCTTATGATTTGTTTAAACTCTAATAATCAATCGTAAAATATGATGATGATCATAATCAAAATAACGGCAAAGCTGAGAAAACTTCATAGCTGCAGTGTCTTGGTGAAGCTATTTAATGCTGTAATACTTTCTTATTTCGTCATTATGTCCAAATCCACTGTGTTACCTAAGAAAACTAGCATCTCATGAGACCTCCTCACGAGACTTACATTTTATTTCTCAAAATAAATAGTATCACTAGGTAATTGGTTTTAATAATAAGATTATACGTTATGACAATATGAATTACTAGAAACATAAGTTAATATATTATTTAATATTTCAATTACACTTCTTAATAGATTCTTTTGTTTGTAGAATATTGTCGAGTACAAGAGCATTATGCCATGAATGTTCTGACTAGTATATATTTCTTTCTTTTTTGTTTTTGCATTATTATTTCGTCTTTTTTGAAATAATCCTCAAGTGTAATTTTCTGTATCTATTGTTAGAATTTTTTATTTATTTTCATAAAGATTATCATAAAAGAAGAATAAAAAAAGAATACTAGACTTATTAATTATACAAGTAAAATGAGCTATGCTAAGTTTATTCTTTAATCCAAACTGGAATTCGCGTGTCAAGTGGAAATTTTAAGGCACCCTATTTTCTTTCTCTTTCTGGTAGATAGACTAGTTAGTCGCTCATCCAAAAAAAAGAAGATATGTAATGCACAGTTGTTGTCATGATCTGAAGGCAAACACTTGTCATCTTTGTTGATTTTCGCTTTTTTTTCTCGCTCTCTCCATATCTCTCTTTGCTTCCTCCATTTTTTTATTTCTTGTTTTTGTAAGCATGATCATTTATTCAATTTTCTGGAATCGATTTAGCTTCTCATAGAATCACCATATGCTCTCTTGGATGATATTTTTTTTTCTATTTAGATTAAAAAAGGCAATCAAAACTCATCAATTATACAATAATGCAACGTTTACAACATTTCAGTGAGTAACGACACGATCCGTAAATGAAAAGAAATATATTGATAGCATAATAAAGAGACAACAGATTTTGTAATATATGTAATTAACTAATAGAAACCATAAATTGATTAGTGCTGATAGTGAAAGTTATAAAACAATATCGTTGGTTAGAGTATGCTTGATTCTCACTCTTATTTCCTGCTATTCGCTTGAGAATCACGCATGTATTTGTCATGCAGACCCTCCTACGCGTCCGCTTTGCTAATAGGATGAGAGATAAAGATTCTTTTTCTGTCATCTCATTTTATGTTTCTCTCTCTCGCTCTCCCTTTCTCTCTCCCCTGCTCCGTGTTGTGTTTGCTTGTTGGGTGTCAGAAAGGGATAAGTCAAACAATAAAAAAAAAAAACTCATCTACTATAGAGGCAATCTATCTAACTAACTGCGTACATATACATCCATATAGAAGAAAAGCAGGTTCCTATTACAAACAAAAGAAAAGTTTCTGCGTCTGGCTTTTTCTTTCCGGAAGTGCTCCGAAAAACTTCATCAGTCAGTGCACAAATACAAATCAATATGTCACAATACCTATTGTCTGCCATAGAACAAACGAATGGTTAGAAAAGGGTTGTACTTATATTAATTCATTCATTCTTCGTTACTTCAACAGCCGTCAAAAAAAGTGAAAAATGTCAATGGAATCATTTGAGCGTAAGTGGTCAAACTCGTTCTGAAGATTTCTTTTTTAAGGATTTTTCTTCCGCCTTGCATGCTAGATGTTAACACGATAATTGACGCGATGGTGATAGATGTGTACATCTCGAAAGTCGCACCCTAGTAATTGAATAATGAGTATCGCAGAAAGAGTACTATAAAGATCTAACGTCATGATAAAGACGAAGGTTTCTATATGAATAATAATAGGACGTTCTCAAGTAGAGTATTATTGACAAGATATTGATTGTCTTTCGTTTATAAATTATGAAAAAAAATATAAAAGACATGTTATTTATACACCAAATAATATGAGGAGAAAAAAAAACAGATTTTCCTTCATTTCCTCGAATATGAAAAAATACAGAAAAGAAGATTGCAGTAATGAGATTTTTTATTTGCTGAATAGAAAATGTTGTGATGCTGATTCTATTGACATAGAACTACAATATATGTATAAACATTTTATTTCTATAATAGAAAATGATAATGAACTAGCATCGACATTTCCAGTCAAAATTCGTAAAGTACCAAAAAGCTTAGAAGACATTGTACGAATAACAAAATTTAATAAATCCGAAATTCGGCTACTCTACAAAGGATTTAAACAAGTACGGTGGAAAAAAGCCACAAATGTTTTATTCTACTTCCATTTTCGAATGTTAATAGGAATGTCCAAGTGGCGCAGTAACCGAACGTGAATTTCAAACCATTTATTCGCATTTCTTTCCTCATGGCAATTGTCGAGACTATACAACTTATTTATTTCGCGTTTTGGATAGGCGAAAACGGATGTATTTTACATTTGAAGTAATTTTTTCATATAAATCAAAGCACAAACATGCCCGAGAGAAAGAAAAACATTTGCATATATTTTCTATCAACGATTAAGATTTAAAGTACACTCACATTGTGATTTATTCAGAATTCAATGATTGTGGTTTTTTTCTATCGATTCAATCTATTTTATTTTTATATAGGATTATATTCAAACGTTATCCATTTTGTTACGTGGAGATGTCAAGGAAAAACTTCAATGGGTATTTCGTTTCTATGATATTTCCGACAATGGAAAATTAACGAAACAAGTAAGCTATGGATGCTTTTGTATTAGTCGATATGTATTTGTATTTACCAGACAATAGAAACGATTCTTCGTTCGATCTACGATCTTCTTGGACCAAACAGTTGTATTCAGCAACCTCTAACTGACGCTACAATTGAAAAACATTCAGCTTGTATATTCGAAGTAAATTTCTTAGTTTTATTTTCTCAAATTAAATATTATTTTATTAGAAACTTGATTTTCATAATGCTGGAAGTATTAATTTCGAGGATTTCGAAAACTATTGTGTACACGTAAATACTATTAATGATTTATTTTTTGCTTTTATCAAGTAATTTTCTATTTTTAGGATGCGCAGCTATTAAATAGCATTTCATTACTGTCAGCTACAGCTATTTAATAGGCCATACTATTGTTCAGCGCTTTTCTTTTGTTTTGTGTATATTAAATTATTGATTCCTTGTTTGAAATATAATGAGTATTCAGGTGTATGGAAAAAAAGCGTGTTAGTTGCAGTTGCTTTTGTATTAGTCTAGTTTATATTAATTGTTTTTTTCCTGTTTACTCTTTAATTATATAAAAGTGAAACACGAAGCTACGAACCTCGTTAAAATTACACGCCATCGATTTGCGTGCTATCATGCGTTTGTAAAAAAAATAATTTTACCCTAGAATATATTAATAAAGAAACAAGATGGAAAATTTTCGGTGTTGTATAATTCAAAATATTCTAAAATCGGTTCTGTAACGAATGAGAATGTCACGGAAGCTTAAGATCTAATATTTACCTTTAATATTCTTGGCTACAATGATTTTTTTACCCCCTGGCTGTTCCGTCAAACTAAACATTGAAGACTTACAACGCCACATAAGCCTTAGCTTTAGTCATAGATATTCTAATCAACGTTCTCAGTCGATTCTCAAAATGTTGTTGTGAAAAGAATCGCTGTTTTTTCTCGTTCAATAGGAAACCATTTCCGGTCTTTTCTTTATAAAATTGATTAAAAAACATCTTGAGAAAGCCTAGAATATATGAATCAATGCGTCTGCATCTTTTCTTTTCAACGACACAAACTTTATAACACTCGATCCTGTTTCTGTCAAAAAAAAAATTTTTCTTATGTGAACTAATCAATTTTCTTTTTCAATATTGAACACTTGTGCGTTTTGTTTAACTTTTGGATCATGTCCCACATGAAAACAATGTCTCTACATCTGTTTTATTTGATATACAATAAAGACAAAAAACTCGATGTGATTTAATAATAATAAAAAAAGGAAAAGAAAACAGTAATACAAGTTGAATTGAACCGATCGTTGCAAGCATTTATTATCTTCATTAACTAATACCTCAATGTTGGTCTATTCTTTGCAATGAATCTAATAGAAAGGAGAAATTTTTTCTTTAAAAAAATTAAAAATCGCTGCTGCAAAAAACATACTGATCGAGTGAATCCCAAAACGTACGAATGCGAGCACAATCAAGATGTCTTTTATTTTGATCCAATTCAATTAAATGTACACACCATTTTGCTATGTTTGCATCGGTTTTTAATTGAGCCCATTTGATATGATATGCTTTGACTAATTACAAGAAAGGTATCATTTGCTGAGAAAATGATTTTGTTTGTCTTACTTTTCTGAAAAACTTCTACCGGATTTCCTGACCACGGCCAACCTTTAAATTGCCAAGCAGGACCTTGTGCAAATACAGCAACAACACGTTCTTCCCTAGAGAGAAATAGAAATTATGTATAGCTGCAAATAAATTGTTTGACGATCAATAGAATGACATGACGGAACAATAATTTATTTAAGTTTGTATTCACAGAAAAACTGATGATGAACGTTTTTCTTATGAATAAATAACGAAAGGCTTTGCCGAACCTTCTCTCACTATGAAAATTTATCTGATAATACAGCTCTTTATGAAATTACTCTATATGATTTCATTTTCATACCAATCTTGTGATGTCAATCGTAGAGGATCATCTGTTATTCGATATGGTACTGTTAAATTTCCTTTTTTGCGCTGAATTAAAATATCACCATCACGCTTAGTTCCACTTGCTTTGCCTTCTTCTGTTGATATATATCTGAAAAACAAATTTTGAACTTTCACAATCAATCTAATTTCATTTAAAAATGATTACTTCAAATCTTCGAGTAATTCTTTACAATTATATCTAGTTATTAACGATGTTAAGGCTGCTGGAATAATAATAATAGGTGTACGTGACGGACGTTTTGATGAATCAGTAGTTGATGTATTTAATTTATCATTTGCCGAAATAATAGGTTTAGGTATTGAAGGGTTTGCCGCTGACTTAAATTAAAGTTAAAAAAAAACAACTCAATATGATGATATATTTTCGAAAGAAAATAATTACTAGAAATTTATTTGGTGTTGCACCTTCAGTCACATTTTTTAAGGTTAAACCGTGATATGAAGCATGCGTATCAATTTTAAATTCTGATTCATCTCGAGGAACAAATTTTTCTTGATGATATCGAGAATAACCTTCGAGAGGTGCACGAGCTGATGTCTAAAATACAAGAGAGAAAAAAAAATATCTCAAGAAAAAAACTAAAGCATCTAAGTTTTACATCACGAGCAGGAGATCGTTGAGCAGCAAGTGCTTCTTGCTTTTGTTCACTTTCTTCTTTGGCTTTGATTGAATTTAATATTAAAAGAATATTTTTTGCAAAATTCTTAATTAAAACGATAGATAAATAAATTTCAAATAAATCAATGGTATACTTTATTGGAACTTTGTAAAACAGTGGTACGATTTCTCCATGTTCTTTCACGTTTCATAATTTCAAATGTATCAGCTGTAATTGGTAATGGTTCTGTGCTTGGCTCTGGTGTATCTTCATTTTCTTTGAAATCAACAATTTTATCACGAGCAGTGGCACGAAACTTAGCTCGCAATTTAAGGATTGCTTCCGTAGATAATTCACCAGACAGTGGACGAATTTGATCCGCAGCGATTTCTTTATTTTTTTCATCGAATTTTTTCTCTCGGCGATCTTTTAATTTTTGCATATCATCATCTTCAACTCGAGCCATTTTTGCATTGTCCAAACGAGGATCTTCAGCAGGGCGTTTATTGACTAGAAAAAAAATTAAAAATCATCAACTAAACTTTCCCCACACATGGTGATGAATCCAATGTTAGTAATTGAAAAACTCTTCACGTCATTAGACTTCTTAAGAGTACACTTGATCAAATTTACCTTGCAACGGTCGTTGCATCGTAATTTCCAATGGAGCATTTCTATCGATTCGATCCGCTGTATTTGTTGCGCCAGTTAAATAAGCCAAAAGATCTTTACGATCTGGACGACTGATAGCTGGAATACCGTTTTCCTGCAAATTTCAATAGTTAAACATAGAATTTTTCTCATGCAATCAACAAATACATACAGCCGCTTTTTTGACATAATTTGCATGTTGTAAATCAACATATTTGGAAAGAAAAGCAATACTTTCAAGTGTATAATAATCTTTTGGCGTATTATCTTTACCAGTACTATAGACAGAGAGAGAGAGAATAGAAAACAAAAATTAATATTGAATTAAAATAAAGGAACTAACCCATAAACTAGATAATTTGTTTTAACATCTTTCATATATGCCAAATCATTAAATACGAATCGATCATTTTCAGTTGTATATTCTTTATTTTCAATTATAAATTGACGAAGAAGACTTAATGCATCAGCCATATTAAATATCTATAAAAAAATTATTTTTGATGTAATCCGAAATAAAGCAAGGAAATAGAAGAAATAAATAGACATTTTATTTTCTTATTGGTTTATTCTGCTTATCCAATCAATAGTTATGTGAAGCGCTACTTTCGTCGTTAAAATTGAACCATTGAGCATCTATTATTATCGTTATGATAGTTGGATATAATTCATTATTTATTTTTTTAATTAACCTCGAAAAAAATAATTTCCTACAAGGAAATTTGTTTAAATTATTCTTTTTTTATTATTTTCTATTTTTATAGATTTGTTTGAACATTTTTGAACGCACTATGTGTTACATAGAAGAAACAAGAACGATTTATGTAGAGGACCAAGAGTCGGACGAATGTTGCTCTCCAAGGTTAATAACATTCAACGAAGCGGCGGCGACAGCAGCCGCTTGTCTGTTTGTTCAAGGCAATTGCGAAAGAAAAAGAGGAGAAGAAAGACCTCCTATTCATACACACATACAGGGTCGAATGCGATGAACGTAAATGGATCTGTTCTTTTTTTTTCTTCTACTTTTATATAACATATGCATACATACATACATACATACATACATACGTATGCATATGTCGATAGGATGGAAAGAAAGGGGGAGAGAGAGATGTTCAGTTTGGAAGCGGCCTTGGTTTAGAAGGTCATTAGAGGTCGTGACAAGGTTGCTGATAGTACAAAAGGAACAGCCAACATGTATGTGCGTATGTGATAACGATACGGTAAAAATCAATAAAACGTTATATATAGTCGCGTTGAACTACTTCGTATTCTTTTTTTTTTGTTCGTTTCTTCATCTTCGTTTTAGATGTTTGCCATAAAGACACTTGGCCACTTGTGTGCTACTCGATCAAGTAAATACATTAATAATATAATCTAATCTTTTAAAACAATTTATATTCTTAGTTCTCCATTTTCACCGATCGACGTATTCAACAACAGTATTGAGATTAAACTTAAGATTAGTTCATTGTGTTACGATGAAAAAATGGCTTGAAAAAGATGTTAATAGATGAAGACATTTGATTCGATTGTGAGAAACGATCGATTTTTATTCTTCTGACGAGATAGTTATATATATATATATATATATATATATAAATGATGAGTAGCCATTATTTATATATTCAAGTTCCAATGGGCGTGCTTCAAGGGTATGAATATCTAAATATTCGTCATTGTCACCTACAGTGTATTGCTTCGTTTTTTTCGCTATCGTCTCGTTGATAAACATAAAGCTTAATGTAAAATTATTGTTGTTGTTGTTGTTGTTGTATTTTAGATAGTGGTATTATTATTTTATGTATTACATTCTATTTTTAGCCTTGATAAATTGTTCATATCATCGAATTTTATTTCAATATCAAATGTGAATAAATTTTATATTAATAATAATGAATCATTTAATGAACAGTATTTAATAATAGCAATGACTGTTTGTATACAAAAACGTGATCGTTGTCGTCTTTGTTTTTCATTAATTTTACGTGATCGTTCAACATTATTTTCGTCCATATGTTGTCAAAAGTATTATCATTTATTCAAACATATACAACGCACGAAAATTCCATTTAAAAATTATAGCCCGTTCAAAAGCAAAATTTCAAATCGAACAGTTTGTTTCCGTGATTTAATTCTACGTTATCTACATACGCAATTAGAACCAATAAAGAATTTTTCAAATTTTATTTGTTATGATTGTTCAACTATTTTATTAGATATTGAACAATGTGCAAAATATTTAAAAAGAACAATAAATCAATTAAAAATTAAATTAAATAAATCAAATCGTCTTGTTACATCATCATTATCGGCTACATGTCAAAAGAAAAATCAAATATTGAAGACTATCAAAAATGAAAAATTACCCATCTTGGATTCTGATGATGACGATTTCGATGATATCGATGATGATGAGGTTTGTTTCAAAGAATTGGCGAAAAGAAAGAAAATAAAATCAGTAGATACACAAAGCGATTATTCAAGTGCATAGAATAACTGTGTTACTAAAAGTCACGGTCATGAAAATAATCATGACAATTTCTTTTTGTTTTAAATTTTCACCCCGTGACTAAGATCAAGTCTAGAAAAAAAAAGGTTACTACTAAATTAGGTAATCAGAAAAAAGTTACATTTCTAATTTTATCGTTTCGATCAATGTCAAATTATTTTATTAAATTGATGTTTATAGTTTGTTACAAAGCAGAGACTTTATTTCGAAGTTTCTATAGAAGTGAACACGAGCCGTGTGCATTTTTCAGTAAGACTTCTATTAATCTTGACAGATTTATCCTTCATGTACTTTTCTTTAGTCGATCATTCTATTAATCTATTATGTTTTTCTTTACATATGCATCCAAGTTTAAGATATCTATCGTTAATTTTTACGCTTCACTATTTTTCCCTATAGTTATCCTTCATATATGCTTCACATGTGAAATTACTTGTATGATTGGTCTTATCTTATTATGTGAACATTATTCACACTATGTAAAATATTGAATGATTTCTATCTGTGATTCCGAATTATTATTAGTTAACTTAAGTTGCATGCATATTACCTCGAAGATCACCTTCAAAGTCGAGTTTCGAGGTCTGATTTGTCAATGAAGCTTGATATGATATTTTAGTAGCACTTATCCTTGCATAGTAATACTGAAACATTTATCATGTGGAAAAGTAAGCACTTGTGCCATAGACTAATCTTAGGATAGAAGCCAATAAAAAAAGAAAATCGGACACGTTTTTACAATGTATTAGTTCAATAAAAATTTGTTTAGTCTTGAAAATGCTCAAGTAATAAGTTCGGATTCTTCTACAATATGATTTAGTCATAGAACGAAATACAGCAGATAACTAAGTTTATCAGGTACGCACATAGTATCGTGTTCAAACCTTGATGGTATCAACCATTGAACGACCCTGAGCAAGTCACTAACGACTGTTTTTTTCACCTGAACCGCCCGATAGCGTTCTAGCTCTATGTAACATGCTGTTGGGTAGCATCTCATCCAACAAAGGGATGTGTGCTTCCTTCCTGGTCAAACAACGGAAGTAGGCGTGGAAAAAAGTAAAAATATATACATTTGTATAAGGATTTCATTCTATCATATAGAAAAGTAAACATAATGTTCTTTTTTATATAATAGGAATCTGATGAAGACAATGATGATACAACAAAACCAATTGTATCAGCCAATAAAATAATTTCTGATCAGTCGAAACCTCTTGATTTTACTTCATCATCATCGTCAGGTGGTGAATCTCTGTCAAATCTTCAACGAATTAATTTAACATGTAAGACTACTACTAATAATGGTCCGTGCAATGATGATGAAGATGACGATGCTGAAGATGATGACGACGATGACGATGAAGTTGGTTTAGTTTCAAATCCAAAAACAAAATTGAAAAAGTCTAAAGCTAAGAATTTATCTGAATTAGTTTTTAATGCATCATCGATGCGTCCATCAGATCCAACAATGAGTTTACTTCAAGAAACAAATGCGAATATTCTTCAATTACGTCTTGCGCAGATGATGACCAGTGCCGCTTTCGATGGGTCGCTCCCTACAGGTCAAAATAATCATGTTGATGGAATGTTGAGTACATTTGCTAATTTGCAACGAAATTTATTAAAATTCTTCAATGATCCACGAGCAGCTACACAAGCTGCGATTTCAACAAACCCAATGAAAGCTAACATTGCACCCATATCGTTAAGTACAACAAATAATAAACAAGGTGGTAGCGGTAGAAAACGAAAATCAACACCAGAAAAACGTGTCATTACAAATTATCGGCCAGCAAATAATAATGGCGATGTATAAATTTGAGATGTTAAATAAAATAAAATATTCTTGTTATTTCTTTTCTCATTTAGATATCGCCAACAAACAAACATGAATTAATTAGTAATTCGGCTGATAATATGAATAATCAAGAGCACACTGATCATCCATTAGAATTAACATTAAAAGGTCCTCAAACAACAAATCGTGTTTTAGCATCACCAGATGTTCATAATCTTGTGGTATGCAAAATTTTATTATAGTACAAAAAACTCTAGTTGCCCTTAAATATTGATTTTCTATAGAATCGAAGGTTTTCACAGAGTAGTCAGATATTTTCGAAGGGTCAGAAATTAATTCCTATTTTTTTTTCATGTGACTTTTGAGAAAGAGAAGCAATCACTGTCACAAAATGTATTTCTATGAGAAGACATATCAATTGAGTTTTGGTGTCGAAAATTTTCGGAACGAGAAGGATCAATCGCTGGTGTAAAATCTGGCCTTTTGTCCGAAAATATTTTTCTGATGCTGATGAACTCCTCAAATATGTAACTTTGGGGCCGATGAATTTAAAAGTTTAATTTTCTCTAAGAAGATAGGTTAGAATCTAATTTTTAATGATAAATATTCGTTCAAATGTTGTAGTTGTTACCAAGTGTGTAAGACCTTGTTCAGTGCTGAATTTTAAGTAGACATTTGTATATGAAAGGTTTAATTCTTATCATTATACAGAAGTCCTTGTTACCATTGTAATCGAATCAGTAAGCCTTGTAGCAAAGTGATGAAAATAGTCCATTGGTTAAGAATGATTGTTGAGAGGTTCGAACCTACACTTGGGGTAAACGATTTCTTGTGTTTAGATAAATCGCAAAAATGAAAATGACAGTCCAGCACAATTTCACCAACATGTTAATGAAGGTAAGCACATAAATAATATTTCTCATATTGCAATTGATGATTTTGGAGAATAATCTGAACATAAATCATGTTGCTAATTATTCAAATTTGCAAGCTTTGATCCCTCTGATGCAATACGAGAAAAAAAAGAATTTTTTAGCTAATATCTTTTTTTTGTAATAAAACAAAACTCTCTAGATTCTAAAGAGATTACGACACCGAATGATTCGTCTGTATCTCTTTCATCATCGTTTAATCGTCATTCGACAATAGCAAAACGACAACGTCTTGCAACAACTGGTCAATATGATTCTACAAATACACAAAATAATGCTTCATTGATGAACTTAACACAAACAACAAATGATTTATTATCACCAAATCATCATCAAACAACCATGAATGATGATAGTAATGTCAATACAAATCAACGGCAACAACGTAAATTAGATCCACGTTCATGTTCAGAATGCGGCAAAGTATTATTCAGTGATAAAAACCTATTACTTCATTGTCAAACGCATGCAAAAAATGAAAAACAATGCTGGATTTGTGGAGTTAATGATGATTCTATTAAGAAACATATTATCAATGAACATGGGAATCAAAAAATTACAAATACTGGTTTCAAAGTATGCAGAAGCAAAATAAAATAACAGTTTTTAAAATAAAACTATTTCTATATTTTAGTGTCAACATTGTGAGAAAGTTTTTCCTGTGTTCGCTGATTTAGAAACTCACACAAAAGAACATAGCAAGAAGAAGGTTTAGTTTCACTTTTGATTAACATTAAAAAAAGCAGCTTAGTATTTTAGCCATTCGAATGTCCAATTTGTAATAAACGTTTTGGTCAACAAGGAAATTTAAGTTGCCATCTACGAATTCATAGTGGTGTTAAAGTATAATTTCATAACTATAGAGAAGGAAAAAATATTTAGTTTTGCATATATTTCTTTCTTTTTTTTCTTTAAAGCCATTTACTTGTCAACATTGCGGTAAAGCATTTCGTCATTCAAATAGTTTAAGACGTCATGCACGAACAGTTCATTCAGCATCTCGTGGTTTAACAACACCGAATTCACTTCTTCCTGGCTCAGCAACATCGTTATCTAACGATATGAAAGGTGAATCGTATGATGATGTTCCATCAGCACTTATGATACCATCCGATGATGGTTCATCATCAGCAGGTGATGTTCCATCACCTTCAATGTCTAATGCGCAAGTTGATAGTGATTAAAAAGACGACCAGTTGGAAACAAATTGATCTGTAGAACATTTCTTTTCTTCTTTTTTCATTGGCAATACGAATATTTTAGTTTCTGTTTTTGTGTGTGTGCGTGTGCGTGTTTTTGGCCTCTAGTTCTACATGTTTATGTGAATTTGTACAGTTTAATCTGATGTACTAGTGAACAGTATTTCTTACCTTTTTTGTAGAATGGCCTTTTCTCTTTTTTATTTGAGAACAGTGAGCCCGTTAGTCTTGCGTTGTCTTTTATGGCAGTATTTTTTCCATCATTTCAGTCAATACCATCATTATCGTTTGTGTTTCTGTTTATGATGCCGGTGATAACATAGATCAGAAAACACAAAGGAAAAAAAGAGAAATTATATATTATTCGAACAGTGTTTATTATATGCGTATAGTTCCGGTGTGTGCTAGAAACCGAGAAAGAGAGAGAGAAGAAAAAGAAAAAGAAGAGCAAGCAAACCATATAAAGAGTAAGAAATGTTACCATCGACTGACCCCTCCCGCCCCCCGTCTCTTCCTTCTGACTTTGTTCACTCCGGTCCGTAATTTTTCATTTTGTTTTTGCCCTTTTCTTCTTTGTTTTGTCTACTCTATCTAGTCTCGATATTTTTCTATTCGTTTCATGGTATACATATACGCTCCTTTCGTTTATGATTTAGGGTTCTATTTTGTCTATGCAACTTGTCACGTATGTCTTGGTTCTTGTTTTCTTTTCTTTTCTTTTCTTTTTCTTACTCGTTTGTTTTTTTTTGTCAAATCATGAAATTCTATGTAGCCAATGGTCTGTTTATTATTAGTTGATACGTCTTTAAAACACAAAAAGAAACTAGAATGTTGCGTCGTTTTCTTTTCTTTCTTTATGGTGCAACACTGGATCTTGTGGTGCTGCTAATGTTTTCTTTCTTTCGTTATATTACTACTACTACTTAGAATGTATCTCGCGATCATACGTAACTTTTTTTTGTTTACTCAATGTCCTTAAGTTTTTTTCTCTTTCGTTTAACTTGCTATTACTCTTATAACTACTTATGCCATTACACTACTATAACAGTTTCTTGAGAATATTTATGTGAAAAACGAGAACGCGTGCTATTACTACTATTACTGTTGATTCGAATAAATTCTAAATTGGAATATATATATATATATATACATAAACGAGAAAAATCTTCAATTTTTTTTGTTTTATTTGTCTATATAGTTGAATATGATAAAAGAAAAAAAACAGAATAAGTTTAGATTATTTTTGTTATTCGTGAATAGGAAATGTATCACGGCCAAAAACTATCCGGAGGCTATTGTGTTCACGTTTTGAAAGTATTATTGAACTAATGAATATGTGAAGAAGAAAAAAGAGACTCATCAATTGTTAAAAAATATATTCGAACCGGTACCTCGATGTGAATGGCCTTGAAAAAGTCTTGCGGTTGAATCATGATTTCTTCTGCAAGTAGTCATGGGTTACCTAATAAATATATATCAGGCTTTTGAGGTTGACTATATGAGACTTAAAATAGAATTACTCGGATTCAAATATCATAAGTTTAATTAAATTTTTATATTTTCTAGATGGATCTTATTTTAGTTGGTGTCGTACTTCAGTTTTATTCGTAAGCAAATGGATGAACGATGGTTATCTAAAATATTAAACAAATCATGAACGAAAAGAAGAGCTTGTAAGTTAATATACAAGATCAAAATGCATATAATGCTAACTAGCAGGCAGGTTCTTTTTCTTCATTGAGCATATACAAAATTTCTTTTATACCAAAAGTCATCTTTTTATTTTGTAGGATTGTACATATTGAGTGATGTTAAATAACAAATTTATTCTTCTCTATTTTTCGATATGTTTTGACTTCGAATATGAGAAGATCAACTATTGAAAATGATTGAGCAGCATGAGTCAAAAAGAAAAGTATATCTATCTTGTCATTTAATTTATGTTTTACATTAAAATAATAAAAACAAAAACTTTTTTTATATGTTCAGTTAGCTTTGAGAAATTTTGTTTTTGATTTACTGGATAAGATTTCATTTGATATAAATGTCTATTGTAGAAATTTAGTCTTCTATTTTTCTACTTATCATGGCTGACATCGAACCTATGAAGCAGAATCAAGATCTTGAACCCGAACAAAAACGTAAAGTTTTTATTGGTAGTTTATCATACAATATTGACGAGAATGCATTTCGTGAATATTGGACAAAATTTGGTTCAGTTATGTAAGTTTAATTTATTAGTTTTATATGCGTACGAATTAAAATCTTGTTTTTAGAGAAGCAACGATCTTACGTGATCGTGATGGCCATTCACGTGGCTTTGGTTTTGTTACATTTACTGATCCGTCAAGTGTTGACGCTGTCATGCAATCAAGACCACATACACTTGATAATCGTATTGTTGAACCCAAACGTGCAGTAAATAAAATAATTTTTTATTATTTATAATTTCATTTTTCATTGATTCAGATTCCTCGTGAAGAGACTCACAAACCAAATATGCAATTATCAGTAAAAAAACTTTATTTAGGCGGTGTTAAAGATCCAATAACGGAGAACGATCTTAAAGATTACTTTACTAAATTTGGTTCAATAACAGATGTTGTTGTTATGAAAGATCGTGATGGGCAATATCGGGGGTTTGTTTTTACATAAATTCATATTCTAATGATTGTTTTTTTCTTTCTCTGTAGATATGGTTTTGTTGAATTTGATGAGTACGTTACTTTCTGCTTTCTTATATACTTATTCTAGGGTATTTTTGTGTTTGTTTATAAATAGTTATGATCCGGTGGATAAAATTATACTAGAAAAAAGTCATATTGTATGTGGTCGGCAATTAGATGTCCAAAAAGCTCAATCAAGAGATGCAACACAACGTTCAGGTAATAGTCGACCTCCTCGACAAGGACCACCATCAACATCTAGACCGAACTATGATGGTGGTTATAATAATTATCCACAAGATAATATGAATGATCCATTTGGACAAATGCAGAATAATAATTTTAATGGTTATGGATCGAATTTTAATGAAGGCAATGGTAATTGGACTTCATTTGGTCAAGGGTAGGTTTAACACTTGATGTTTTTTTACTAAATGATTTTATATTAAGATATGGTCAACAAAGTGTTGGTGGACCTATGCGACGGGGAAATATGGGTGGCAGCGGCGGTGGCGGCGGCGGCGGCGGCGGCGGTGGTGGTCGTGGCTATGCACCTTATAATGGTCGTGGTAGTGGTGGTGGTCGAGGACGTGGTAGCGGCGGTGGCGGTGGCGGTGGCAATCGAGGAGGAGGCCCAGGTCCATCGTGGACTTCATGGAATTAAGATGAATATGTCACCTGTTATATAATGATGTTCTTTTGAGAATTCCTTCGTTTTTTTCCTTGTTTGTTATCGTTCATTCTGTATGTATATCATGATGTTGATTAAACAAAAAACAAAACACAATAAAAAAAAAAGTTATTATTCGTGGAATAAACTTATTTCCTTCTTTATTTCTTGTAATCGGCACTTATCTGATATTAATAGTGAGGAGTGAAATTTCATCTTCAAAGACTCTACTTCAAATTCTCTACTGAATAAAAACCAAAATTTGAGTACCAATATAGGAGCTGATTTGTATCTTTTGATCGTACATTTGAGATATTATCTCGGATACAAAAGGTATACTTTATTAAAAAATCTATCAACAAAAAAATATTGATAGATACTATGGCTTAGCTGTTTGAGCTACCTCGAAAGAGAGAAAGACGTCTATTCTCGAAATAATAACGACTTGTCCACGTAACGGCCCACCTATGTAAGCAAAGTTGAACTTTAAAATTGAGTAAAATAAATATAACCATCTTGTACAGCATCATCGATAGTACACAGAAGTGTACGTTGTATCTCAGTAGCTGTAGATATTGTAGAGGGGAAAATATTATTCAACAAGTATTACTTTGTATTGATGAATATACATATTCATCAAGATGTTTTATTTTGTGTTTTTCCATGCAGACAAATATGATATTTTTCAGGGCCGATCACATCTTGTAGAACTATGTAGAGCAGACTCTTTAACTATAAGAAGAGATCCAGATATTGTTGTTCCTGAAGAAAAATATTTATACTTCAAAAGTAGCCCATTTTTGATTGTGATTCCGTAACGAAAATATGCTGTAACTCACTCTTAACCGAAAGCAAGATATTTATGATTCTATGAATGCGCGCTCTAACGCTGATTTTTTCTGCTCTATCCACAGAAATTGTTGGCTTTTGATAAAAATCTCTGGTTCGTTATAGAGAGCGTGGCGGAATCACCTTTGGGTTGTACAAGTACATTTTCCTAAAAAAAATTAGAAACATTGTTTTTCTCTTATATTGCATCTTAGCTATATTTCTTATATAGGTAATGGGATTCTAGAGCCTCACTACTTAATTCCAAAGTTGATTTCTGACGGTTTGAAGTTATTTTTATTACCGCAATTGAAGATGCCATTTATGGGTGATATCTGATATGTATCTTATACTTCTGAAATACAGTTTTCACTTTATCAGAATGATCAATGTAAAATGGCTTCTCTCGACAGAGCTGGGCAAGTCAGAGATTTTCCAAGTCACAAGTCTGTATAGCACTTATCGATTGTTACAGTGCCGCGTGCAGAACAGATAAGAAAGAAAAGAAAACGAATTGTTACAAGATATGTGTAATTGGATTCCAATTGTACTTATCTTGCAACAATTGATGTTCTTTTCTTTTGTTGTTCTGTGCGCATTATATTTACGCAGATAAATAAATTTTCTCTTTTATTGTTTCCTGACCGTGGTGTATTCTCACTCAACATTAAAAAAATCACACAATCAAAGATCACAAAATTTAAAATTTAAAAATCTGGAAAATTCATAGAAAACAGTAAATTCGTCCAAAAATAGAAAATTGTTTTTTTTTATTATGTCAAGTCAAGACTTGACTTGACTGGTTTGACTTGACTTAATCTGACTTGACTTGACTTGACTTGACTTGACTTGACTTGACTTGACCAACTCTGATTAGAAATACGCGCGGCAACATTATTTTTGGTCCCTATCCCGACCAAAGTCCCGGCACATTTATTGTGATTCTGATCTTTGTCCGAGTGAAGTTTCATTTTTTATTCCGGCCATGTGATTCTAACTAATCTACACCCTGTGTCTATTTAGAAAAACATGTTTCAGCATTATTTTCTCACATTTTTTATGTTTCTTCAATGCTCATATTTTTTATTTCTTTACTACAGCTGTAACTTAGGTCTACTTTACTGTACTCCTCCCCTACTTCACCTGAACTCCGGAGTACGAAAGTCTCACTGTCTTCCTCTTGGCGGGACCACTTTTGCTTTGGTCTAGGTCTCAGCCATGGTATAGTTACGTTTTTTGGGTTCTGACCTCGGTACACTTAATGCTTTCGGTACCAGTCCCAGTCCCGATGACCTGAATCGACACTCATTTTGTACATCTCTATGAGTAATACAAATGTGTTGATTTTTGGAGATTATAGATAAATTTCTTAAGAAATAGACACTAAAAAAACATGAACATTTTAGAACAGTGATTCCGTGCCGAAAATGGTGACTCCGTTACGAAACTTTTCCCACTATTCAAAAGCATAATTTTACATACTTTAAATTTTCTTTTTTTCTACTGATAGAATGCCATCTCCACGATAACTTTCCTATTGAGAGTTTTTTCGTCGCAGTTTTAGTTGAACTACATTTTTCAGTTCTTCACATAGGACTCAATCTGGAAGACCATTTTTGGTGATTCCGTAACGCACCTATATTTTAATTATAACATTCTCACGGAAGCTTCGAATTCTATGAAACTTGAATATATATTCTGAAAATTTCAGCTTCATTCAATTTCATTAAGTTGAGATATTCAAAATACAAAATGAAAAAGTGTGATTCGGTCACGCTTGGGCAAGTCGATAAGCAAACTTTTATAACATAAATCAATAGTTTTCAATGTTTTTCTTCTAGAAATAATCTCATAGGTTATTTAAATGCAAGAATATGAAACATCTAAGCCACAGAGAGTTTTCTTTTTGTGAGAAGCTTCAAGATAAAAGGTTACTTTGTGCAATAGAGATTTATTATAATAATTAATAAAACGCTCTCTATGATACGAGCATAGACTCGTAATATTTCTAGAGCAGTGTCATGTCTTGATAAATTTCTAATGATGAATCTAGTTAATATTTTAAGATCAAAGTTAAATACTATTTAATGATTCGATTAACAATCAGACATAATACAGACAATATTTGATCCGCGATATTTTTCTCATATTGAATAAGTTCGAAATTCAATGAACAGAGTTAATTTCGTCTATCACAATCTGATATGCATGGATGGTCGTTTTTCATCTCTTGTTTTCTTCTTCATCTTATTTCTCTAATGATCATATCTCCATTTATTGTTTTCAATCACTGAAGTAGACCTTCGCTCATATTTTCTCTTCTCTCTATTCGCCGAATAATTGTTTCTTTTCGTTAAGAACATATGCTCTCTATCATTTCATTACATAGGAGGAGAGACATAATTGATTTAAAGTCTTTGAACTTCGCCGAATCAAATAGATACTCATCGATTTGACAATAAAATAACAAGACAATGTATACATGTCAAATGTGTATATCTATACGATAGACACATATAGATCTGACTCGATATATTGACCTTTTGGCCTAAATGATTTTTCGGTCGAAACTCGATCTATTGATGGTGATTAGTGTGTATTTATGTGTAAGAGAGAGAGAGGGAGAGTTCATATACTCTGTTGGATATAAACACAAATGAGACGTGCCTGTTGTTATAGTTAAAGTTTCTATGGGGTGTGGCTGCTTGTCGTCAGCAAAAGGTTGTTCAGATCGTTTACATTCACACAATTCAATTGACAGCATAAATTAGGCGCATATTTTAGTTGATCAAGCATCATTAAAATAAAATCCAAACGTCAAAAATATGAAGATTTCTCTTACAATAATAATTATTATTATGAAAAAAAAACACAGAAAAAAACGTGTAGCATGAACAAATTGAGAAACAAAACTAGAAATAATTAAGATCTGCCTATTCCTATTGATATATCAATAGATATGACTTGTTAATTATCTTATCAAATACTCTCATTTTGTTCGTTGTCCATGGCCGATTGGTAATAATCGTTGAATTCTTTTTGACTAGAATTTTGTTTCTCAAATAAAAACGAAAATGTCGCTTTTTACATTTATGATGAACATGTTGTAGTTGACGGTGAAATAAAATTGTACAATGAATGATGATGAAACATATTTGTAGCATATTCTTTCATTTGTATTAAACGAAATTTTTCCGTATCCGCTTCGGATAAACGTTTTTCTTTTGCTCGACGATTTTGAAACCAAATCTACGGAGAAAAAGAATTCATTTTAATTCGTTAACCTATGTGCCCTATTGAAGCTCGATTCTGTCGAATACATACTTTAACTTGTGTTTCAGTTAAATTTAACGAAGCTGAAAATTCAGCTCGTTCAGCAATAGTTAAATATTGTTTATCACGAAATTTCTTTTCTAATGCAAGTAATTGTGATGTTGTAAATGGTGTTCGCGGCTTACGATTTTGCTTGTGTTTACGTAATGAACATATTTTAGCGTTGATTTTTGGTAATTCATTATTACGTGCTTTGTCAATTATATCAGCATCAGGTAACCAAGACAATCGTGCTGTAACACTGTTTCTATCTGTTGACGATGTCGGTGAATATTGAAGACTTTCGTTACCTGTCGAATCAATTAATGAACGTATACTGAAGTCCGTTGTACGTTTACTTTTCTTAATTTGTGGCTCCATAACTCGTAAGATATATGAATAAGATATAATTTGTGAAATCAAATTTGCATATTTCGGAGTTTTTTTGCTTTTTTCTTCTTTTGATCGACTGGAAGAGAAGGAAAAAAATATCATTGGCCTGAGCATTGAACTAAGACGAAGAAAATCATTTATTGGACGAATAAAAAAAACCGAGAAACAGAGAGAGAGAGAGAGAAAGAGAAACAAGAAGAAAAAGGTGATTATTACTATTTTTTCTTTCTCTCCGATCAATCGAAAGGAAACTGAAGCTTAGCTTCTATGACGGAAATGTGGATTTTTTTTCTAGCAAAGGAAATTGCTTTTCTGTAGCTAACTTGGAAGAAGAAAAAAATATATTTTTAATCATCATATCCACTACGTCTAGTTTCTCTTTTTTTTTTTTTTAATGACGACCATAGGAATACATAGAGGATATCAATCAAAATAAAATTAAAAAGAGGGCCTATCAAATGATCATTATTCGTCTATATTAACAAATCCGAATTAGACAAGTTACCCACCAGGTAAAATGACAAATTCATCCTTGATTTTGTATTGTTGGGTATTGATTTTTAAAAAAGTTTTTCGTGAATAAATCAATCAAATAACAAATACGATTGATACGCATACACAAGAAAAAAATAAGTGTCATTAAGTATGATTGATTCGATGATCTATATTAGATATTCTTTTAACGGAAGTGAATCGTTTGATGAAAACGATCTAGATCCATCATAATACTATTCTACACAGATGCCTCGAATAGAGGAAGCGAAGAAAAAAACAAGAACGGATATCGGCCTCTTTTAACAAACACAGATATATGTGAATGTACATGTATACATAAGAAGCGCAATTATCAAGAAAAACAGATGAGTTTAAAGAGTATGATCAATATATATATATAAGTGAAGAATTCAAACGTGCAGTCGAAAGCTCTTCTCCTTTTTTTTTGTTTTGTTTCAACATCATTAAATCTGCCCATATTGAATATCATCGTCAGTCAAATGTCAAACGGTTGTTATGTTCATTGATCAATTCCTATAACCGTTTGATTCAATGAATTGGAAAAGATTTTTATATAGAGAATGGTTGATTTATTCTTACAGTTAAATAATCACTGTTTTTCTCACTCTATAAATAGACATGGTCACGATTTATTAATAAAAACAAAACAAAATACGAAAATTTTAATTTCTTCATCTCTCGCTTGTTTTCTTTTTTCATTCATAAAGTAGTTGACAGACAATGCACATGTCAATTGAATATTTATTCACTCGAGTCGATACATTTTTGACGTTTGATACATTCAAAGTAACTTTCAATTGACTTTTTTATTTTAAAATATGTGCGCGTGACAACAATACAATTCAGAAAAATTAATAGTTGTATCTTCATCACGTAGGAGAAAATGATAAATGAGAAAGACAGAGACAATTAACGAAATATATACACAAAATACTATTTAACAAACCATATTTTTATGAATCAATTAGAGAAAGAAAATATTTTCTCGTTATTTTCCAGACAATATCGATTAACCAGACAATTGTTTCAACATAAAGCTTCGAGAATCTGGTATTCTCCCATTTTGTTTCTGCTTAGAACAAACGACACCCTAACTATCTCATTAGTTCGCTCTAACACGATTATCGTCCTTCTTTTATATATGTATATATAAACATTAAATGGCTGAGACGTGACACAACGAGTCAATTGCCATTCGCTTGATGAGGCTAATCGACTATTAACGAATGCGTTTATTTCCAAACTAAGAACTTTTAATCGTCAATAAATAGACATTATATACTGTGTATACATAAAAAAAAATGATGCCTGACACAAAGAAGACTAGTTTTACAAAAGGAAACAGAAAAAAAAGAAAAGAAAGAAAGAAAGAAAGGTGAGAAAAATCTCATATTTATCAAAACGGAAAATAAGTTGAATTCATTTCGAATTGCTTAGCTAATTGTTCTTTTATTTGTATAAAACGATATTTTTCTAATTCAGCTTCTGATAAACGTTTTTCTTTAGCACGACGATTTTGAAACCAAATCTATTATGAAAAAGCAAAACAAAAAACTTAAGTCTCATGACGAGAGATTTTGCGAATAACATACTTTAACTTGTGTTTCAGTTAGATTAAGTGAGGATGAAAATTCTGCACGTTCTGATATAGATAAATAATGTCGTTGATGAAACTTTTTTTCTAATGCAAGTAATTGTGTTGTACTGAATGGTGTTCGCGGTTTTCTACCATTTTTATGTTTACGCAACGATGAAATTTTTGTATCAAATTGATCTTTAAAATATTAATCAAATTTAGTGTTACTGTGCATCTTGTACAACATACCCGATAGCCAATACGTATTGGAATTATTTGTTAAAGTACTATTTTGAAGATTATTTGCCGAAGGAATTGAATTCCACATTGATGGTGAACATGAAGATTTCGATGGACTACTGCCATTCGAAGGATATGCATAATCGCAATCATTATTATTATTATTGTCGCGTAAGAGAAATGCAACGCTAAAGTCTTTTTTTGGTTTGCTACTCATCTCTGTCTTTTTGCCTTTGCTCTCTGTAGAGGATAATTATGATGCGTACGATTTGTTTTTCACTGACTATGTATATATATGTATATATATATATATATATGTATAGGTATTGTGCTGGTTCTGTAACACCAATGAAAACGACGATTATGGTGGTAGAGAATGAGAATAGTTGGCCTTTGCACACACGATTGGTTGTACGGGAAAGAGAGAAAGAAGAAAAAAAAGACGAGAGAGAGAGAGAGAGAGAGACAGAAATATAATATAATACGTTTCTTTCTTGCTCGTTTATATTTGATATACTCTTGTGCACCGACCTAATGCAATTGCACACAGTATCGAAGCGTCAAGCGAGCAGATGATGTGATCAAGTCGTTTTATAATAAATACATAATAAAAGATCATTTCTCACTAATATGACTATTAAAACGGTTGGAACTTTATGTTATTATTCCATTTTCTTTTATTAAAAATCTTTTCATAAACACAGAGAAAGCGCGAATGGACAAATGTTATATTATTATCAATCATTCCTAATAGGGCGGAGTAATGTAATTTTATAGTTGAAAACTAATCATAATTATCCAAAACAAAAGACGTATCTGATGGCCATTCAGACTCTTTTTTCCACATTTCTCATACAATTGCATAACGTAATGATAATACATATTTCAATTTTTCCACACTATTTACTTTTTTTTTTCTTTCGTTTTGAGCTCGCTTCGTTCTTTGCCTTTTCGATAAACTGAGTTGCAAAATTCATCTAATGTCTTGATAAATGACTTGACACATTACAACTGTCACGTCTCTTTTATAGTTTCACGCACATTTCATAGGCGAGTAAGCGTATGACTGCTTTACTGAATCATTGCATCGTGTGTCCTATACTTTGCATGCATTGATTAACTGACGATGTTGAGTCTTATTGCTTGCTTTTCATGGACGAATCCTATTAAGAAAAGAAAGCAATGATCATCATAAAAAAAGATTTTCTCTCCTATCTATTTAACTAATGACTAAAATCAATGTTGATATTATACAATGTCTTAAGGTTGTTCATTGTACATGCTTGTCAATATAAAAAGATGATGGATTAATGTTAATTATAGGTTAATGGTCATTTTTTCTGGATTGATATCAAAGATAAATTTATTTGATAGACAAGAAAATAATAAAAATCACGAAGAGACAAACAATATTAATGGCTTTTTTCGTTTTGCTTTATACATATTGGAATGAAGATAATTGCCATATAGACATCTAGTATCTATATTAGCATTAAAATGTCGTTTGTTTGCTTGTTGTTGTTGTTGTTGTTGTTGTTTTATAAATTTGAGTGTATCAATTAATTGACGATAGTAATATCTACTTTTCATTGGATAGTCATTTTAAGTTGATCACTCTTTTTTGTTGCTGCTGCTGTGTACTACAAATGTCGAAGTTCGTACAGACGAAATAGATTAAAATGCATGAATAAATTTAAGCGTTAGCTACGTTTTAATCTAATGAAGTCTGTACAACAAAAAAAAAAAGAACGAATAGATGTTGTGGACGATTGTATAGAAGTAAATTGATGATGTGTTTGCCGATAGTTTTACATTACTATTCAACTCTCATTTTTTATTGCCTTTCGATGTATCATTAACTTTCATTTCAATGGGAATTTTTATTATTTTGAATAATTAATACGATGAAATAAGTCTTGTTGCTAATTATTGTGATTTTATATAACTATGCATTATTTGATATTCTTCTCGTTTTCATTTGTAAAATATTCGAACAGAACAGCAACGAATAAATGATTGTAACTTATTTTTATTGCAATCATAGATAAATCTGGCCAGACTGATTGATAAATATTCGTATAGAAAAAAGTCTAAGCGAAAAGTTTTTCTCACTGGAACGAAAAATCTTTATAGACGAAAATATTTGTTTTCGGAAAATTATTTCTATTGAGCAATCAATAAAAAAAAACCAATCTTATTCGATCTCGGGAAGTAGCATTATAAACTGCATTAACAGTTACAGGATTAGCGATTTTTAATTTGAGTGGTTGATTGTCAACAAGTTCTATTATGAATTTTTAGGAATTGCTAGTTTCACTAATCTTAAATTAAAGCTTTTGCTCGTATAAACAATGAAGCTGGATCAATTTCACTTGAAAACAGAATGAATACATTGCATGCTTAGCCTTTTACGACCGGATGTTGCCATTTGGCAGCATTTTGCCAATATTTTAGGAAAGGTCTAGTTATACTGTGGATATATAGCGAATCCATGGGTCAGTAATTACTACAACACATTTTAGAACAAACGCATAGTCCATAAAACAAAACAAAAGCGTTCAGTTGAGAAAATGACCGGATCCTTCCTGAATACTCCTAAAGAACAGATGAATCATAATAGATGTTCTTACGACGCCTTGAATCATTCAATCCCACAGGTCGCTAGTGGTAAATTTCCCGTCTTTAGTCTATTGTAGATCGTATCATTCAAAGAGATGCTTCAAGGAATACTGACAATAAGAGGTATGAATGTTGCCAAATGGCAACAGCCGGTCGTGAGGGGTCAAAATTTTTGTAAAAAAAGGCATCCAAATCGAACATTTTTCTTCTATAAATGAGCATTGTTTGAAGAAAAAACGTTGTTACCTATACCAAAACTTTTTATATTTTTTTTGTGCATATGCGCATGATCTTCTTGAACTTCTTGGGCAAGATGGTCCTGCGCTATGGACACATCTTGAGTTCAAGTCTTGTCAAGCGCTTGAAAAAAAAGTTCGACTAGGATGGTGCATTTTCATAGCTTTTCCTAGCTTCAAATGGAGTTTTCTATGAAAAAACAGCGGCATAGTAGTATTGCAGCTCTCGACAACTGGTGTGAAAATGGATATTTGATTTACATATATATAGGCTTGGATGTAGAGAAATAGAAGATCTACATAAATACCTATCCTGATGCCCACCAACACAAAAACTCATATAGCTACTCTTTCCTTAAGTTCAACGTATGCCAAATTTCTCATACAAAAGTGGATTTGAATCGCGGAGAAACTTAGCAGGTGTATCGTATATTTTTTTCTACGCTTTTTGTTGAATGATTAAATGAAAAGAACGTAAAATAGTGAATTTTGGTGATGAAAAACGAAAAATGAATTTTCCAAAGTGTTGATCCCTTACAGTCGGCTGTTGCCAAATGGCAACATAAAGCACCATTGAGTTTTGAGAAATAGGTTTTTGCTATCTCTATGGGAGGATAAGAAAATATATGCAGGAGAAGAGTTCTAACTATGTCGCTTCTGAGAGCCGGCTGGGAAGGGTTAGGATTATTCTTCTTTTTGTTTGTATCTTGACATGATACAAATGTTTTTAATTCATTGATTTAATACAATTCATAAATAATTTCCTCTGGCCTATTTACGTATAGTTCTCTTCAGATATTAGCTGAAATTCGACTTGAAAACAATTGTCTTTTTTCTTTTTCATAAGAAACTATCGATCTAAGAGAAATGTCAAATGATATGTGACATGATTTTTTGCGTTAGTATTGATTTATTCATATTAACAGTGGCGTACACTAATGTGTGTATGAGTAAGTTTTCATTGCCGACAGTAAAACAGCGATTAATCACATGCTCGAATTTTCATAGCAGAAAACATCCAAACATGAACTGATAACGACTCTTATAAACTTCGAAAAAACGAATCTTAACTGCATTTGTCTTCTTTTTTGCCAAACACAATTGTATCGAAATTTTCTTTTTTAAAACTCATTGCATTGAATTAATATTTTTCATTGATAAGAATGCAAGAGAAAAAATAACATCTATTTGCATAATTTATATTGCCTAGGTCGCGTAGAGTATATATGAATGCAACTGGATTTCAAGATTTTGCCATCGGCTCGTCAGAGAGGTACACGTTTAGTAAAAACATTGCTGTTTTGCATTTTATTTATTCAAAATTTTGAATCATACTTCATCACTTAACATGAAATATTTATATTGAATTATTTCTTGCCGGAGAATATTCTCACGTAGCAGTTTGCTCGACATTCGAAACTAACTGCATTGTATTAGTCCTGCTGAGTTATTTATTCTATGAAAGAGTTCTTTGTAATAGTGTCAAACTTACATATTTCTACAGTACACCCAACGTCAGGGAAATGTCACCTAGTGGACAGTCACAATACGAATATCAGACTTCACCTATAATTATGTATTAAGAATAAACACGAATCTAAAGATTTGAAAATTTCATAATAAATTATGTTTACCGCAGTATTTTTTCGTTACTATCCAACTTTCATGAGAAGAATCTTAATCTTTATAAATTTAGTTCTAAATGTACAGTGAATCGACACCTGTGAGTTGCTCTCATCATTGATTTGTTTCAAGACATGCAGATACTAGACGTTTAGTCTTGTTATGATTTTATTAAAACTATCCACGAAACGCTATTCTTAGTAAGCAAGATTTTTCAATTATTATAAAAAAAAGTTGAAGACAACAACAGCTGTTCGAATTCACAACTGTAATTGAGTATCGGTAAAAGATTCTTTTACTTTCAATGCAATTTAGATTCAGACGATTGTGTCGAATTCGATGGGTCCTTATATTTATTATTGTTTTAATGAGTTTATTTTTTGCAATTAACAAATGGTTGATTTACACACCGTTGAGTAGGGATTTTGTTGAATTAGAAACTTGTCCGACTTGTTTTGGTATAAGTCTATGTGATCTATTTAAAACAAAGGATGTCCAATTATCAGGTAACATTTAGGAGAAAATAAAACATCGGAGAAGTTTTATTTTGTCCTACTTAACATTTTCTATAGGTTGGGAGCGTTTTTCATTTTTTAATAATGATCAGTTTAATATAAAAAATATTTATCATGGATCATTGAAAAATCAACCAGTTATTTTTAAAAAGATGGCTCATCATAGTGAATGGACTTCATTTGATATTTGTCGTCAGAATAAATCATGTTATATTCATGTAAAAACAAGTTTAACAACACTTTTGCCTTGTTCTGATCACTTGTTTGTGTCTAAATTTCGGCAAGCGTAAGGAAAATTTCCATATCTTTGCATAAGAAAATACAATCGAATCGAATAGATTTATTAATTCAACTGGTTTCGATGGTCTTGTAAGTGAAATATCATTAGATACAACTATAGAAATTAATCTTGAACCCATTGTACTATCAGTATGAACAATCAGCCGAGAATGGTTTTTACTTTATGAATTTTTAGTGTTGTCTTTCTAGGCTTTGTCGAACTCTGATCTTCCTATTCCATTTTATTATGGTGCATGTGGCCGAGTGGGTGTTTTCAGTAATGAAGGATCTAATTTAGTATCGTATCTTCAATATTCATTTCGATTTCGCGTAGGTTTCACTTTCCTATGGTAGAGAATAAACTTTCTGGAAAATTTCTCAGTAAATTATATATATTTAGATTTAATTAGAAAAATACTTAGGGCATACCAAAAGTAAAGTTTTTTGAGGATAAAACTGTTCAAGATAGAGCTAACCAAGTTTTTATTTCATCAAATGTTCGAAGTAGTCCCCATGGTTATACACACATAATTTCATCCGTTCAATCCATTTATCAAAAGTTTTTTTATACTCATCTTCGTTAATCGAAAACATGACTTTGGTTACGGCACGATGCAATGATACTGAGCTTCTTTGATTCTGTTAGATTTTGTTTGATCAAGTCGAATAACCAAAAATCGCACGATGCGAGGTCCGGAGAATTCGGTGGTTGTAACATTTTCATAATGCCTTGTGATGCGAGATAAGTAGAAACATCTTTTTGAACGTGAGGTCTCGCATTATCGTGATGAATTTTAATTGCATGTGTACCCGATGACGGTCTTTGCTTTTTGATTTCGTTGACAAGGGGTTGTAAACAATTATTGATGTAGTAGTCATGATCAATAGTTTGCCCTCTTTCCACATGATGGATTAAAACAGGGCCGGTGGTCTTGAAGAAGATACAAAATAACGTTTTTGGAGCGAAATGACTGCGTCGAACTACAGTTGGCGGAGTTTCTCCACTTGCTGTCCAGGCAGCATTGGACGACTTTCGCCCAAGTTGTTTGTGATAAAACCATGACTCGTCGCCTGTCACTACGTCACATAACCACCAGGTTCCTTGATTAAATTTTGCTAAATTTTCTTGACATATTCGAACACGTTCAGCTCGTTGAGAATCGGTCAACTGGTTGGGTATCCAGCGAGCGGTAATTTTTTTCAGCTTGAGATGGTCAGAAACAATTCGCTGGGTGGTACCTTGACTCAGCCCAGTTTCGACTTGTATTTCATCAATAGTAAGATAAGGATCATTATCAATAAGGTAAAGAACTTTTTCAATATTGTCGGATGTTGTCTCGGCTACAGGTCTACCAGGTCGTGGTTCATCTTCAACTTCTTCCCGACCTTCACGACATAATTTTGACCATCTTACAACCGTATTGTAAGATGGAGCTTGGTCCCTCAAAGATGTACATAATTCGTCAAAGATGGATTTCAGCTGCATGTTAAGTGCAGTACGCAGTTTAATATAGGCACGAATCTGCTGTTTATTCATCTAAAGATGGGTGTACAGTTTCTATTGAATTTTTCTCATATAATAATAGCCACTGGTAAATGATGACTCATTGAAGAAATATAGAGCACTGTTTTCTCTACAAGTACATATAGGGAAACGTTTGATTTGAGCGTTCCATAGGGTCCATATAATACCAACACCACTACTTTTTGTATGCCCTAAGTAAAAACAATCAATTGAAATAGGGTTTTTTAAATTATTGTCATTATCTCGTTATATTTTTAGGCTTTTCTCGCTCGAGAACTTCTCATCTCAATGCATCAATTAAATACAAGAAATTCAGATATGATTGTTTATTACGGAGATGTCAATCTGGAAAATTTCGTCTATAATCAAAATGAACGACGTGTAAAAGTCATCGATTTAGAATATGTAATTATTGTCGAGCGACATTTATTTTCTGATAGCAATGTGAATAGTGATTATAAACATAGTCAAGGAGGACCATTGAATTCGAATATATATTGCCGTAGATATTTTCCTGATTATAATGTGGAACAAAGTAATATTTATATATTGTTCGATTGTATGTTTTTTGCTTTTATTCTGATGTAATATTTAGTTTGCCGCTATGTGTTATCACCATCGAATGAAACAAATCAAAGGGAAATGTCAAGTGATTTTCTTCATAGTATTCCTGCGTCTATTAATCGTCAATGGAATCTGACGAATATAATTGCTGCTTGTGCACAAACTGGATCAACCAGTGAACGCTTAGTTCTCTATGAACAACTTTTGAAAATTTTAAGTCAAATTATGTAATACACTTGATTGAGTGCAACACGCAGAGAGAGAGAGAGAGAGAGAGAGGACGCTATCAACCAATTGGTGGCAGTACAAATGTGTATTGATTGGCTCTATTACGATTGAAACACACATGAATCATATAATAATATGTGTTTTATGAGTTGACGGGCATTTACACATATACATATACGATGAAACATAATATAAAAAGGTAACTTGTTATCTAGGTTACTGTTTTATATTTCAATTATACTCATTCAAATAAATTATGCATGCTTTGTTTGATGACTTCTTGACAATTATCGCATGAGTAAAGATAGAAAAAAAGATCCCCACGAACATGTAAGATAAACATTGTTTTACTTTAGATGCCTTATAATTCATTATATGTTTTTCTTTGTACCATTCAAGGCACCATGGGCAGATGTTTCGTATAGACGACTAGCACGTCAAGTATTTTAAACTTTTAAACGCTTGAAAAACATGCTCATAGCTAAAAGCATAATTTTTACTAATTCAACCAACATAATACACAGGCAGAATTATATATACAATTGCTTATCTAACATAAACGTATTACACAAATCGCTAGCGTTCTCATCGTGTAATTAGTATGCAAATATGCAGATGTGAAAAACGAAAATTGTTTTATTTTTTATAGGCGCAAAGCCACGAAGGTCGACATGAAAATAATACTTCTGCAACGATCAAGATCGATCGTGAATTGGATGTGACCGATTTCCTAACAGAAGTATAAATTTTGAGTTTTATTCTTTTGTTTCGATGAGCAAAAATTTTAAGTAGCTCAATTTTTAGATTGATTCTATTCGATTGCTTATTGATAAACTTGATGAAGTTGTACAAAGTATTAAAAAAGTTCAAATGGATATGCTCCAATCAACTGAAAATTCTAGTATGAAGGGCAACTAGAGATTTCACTCAGTATATATATATATATTTTTTTTTTTTTCATAATAGAATTCGGCAAAGATCTTGATACTAAAAATGACGAAATAAAAAAATTATCCTATCAAGTTTCTACAATGCTGAGAAGTACAAAACATGGAACAAATCATTAAATTTGACTTTTATTTAATTTTGTAGAAATGGAACAAGCAAACGATACTCATGATAAACAGAGTGCTCAAGGGCGTATCAGAGAATCTCAAATATTTGTACTAACTAGACGACTTCGTGAAGTTATGATTCAACATAATCTCAATACTGTTGCACATCGTGAACGATGTAAAAAAATTATTGTACACGAACTAAATTTGTGTAAGTTACTCAAGAAGCAAACATTCGTTTACTATGAATTTCTTATCAGTTTGCAATTAATCTAAAGCGACTTATAAGTAATGCATGACCATAATTGATTACTAGCCAACGAAGTTATTCTATAGTAGTAAATCTCGGTAGGACTTACGATTACTATGAATAGCTAGTAGCTAGATGAGTGTATAATTATTGCAGCAGTGACTAAATAGAATAGCATGCAAAAGCTTATCCTTTCTTAGCTGTTATGTGCATACATGAATTCCATAATAAATCCTGTATCTTCATTGTGAACACCAACTAATTTTTAGTTCATTAACAGGACGACTATTTTTTGCAAGAGAATGCTTCGTGTAAGCTCAATCAAATCTCAGTCCAATGTAGGTTAAATTCGTTTAAATAGTGTTTCCATTGGAACTGTTGCATGTGCCCTATCCGCACTCTCCGTAGTAATGTACAGGATGACATCCTATGATGTTTTCTGATACGAATACACGAGTTCTAACCGAAAATTTTGCTTTGATGGTATAGTCGATGGAGATTTCATTCCAATTATTTTCGTTAATGAGATGTTAAGTTTCAAACAAGAGTAACTGATTTGAAGAAATTGAAAGAATTATGATTCATATTATTGCTTGTTGGGCTTAAAATGTATATCGATTTTGTGTCTTTTTGCATAGCCGGGCAAGGAAAAACCAATGACGAATTAGAACAAATACTGGAAAGTGGTATTGCTGGAGGATTTAGTTATTCTGTAAGACTAAAATTTCGTTTGTTCTATGAAATTTTTATGCTTTTGATTATCTAGTTAATGTTGGATACTCACCAAGCCAAACTAACACTAAATGCAATTGAAGCACGTCAACGAGATATAATTAAGCTTGAAAATTGCATAAAAGAATTGCACAACATGTTTCTTGATTTAGCTACGCTTGTTACAGATCAGGTAGAATTTCAATTTTTTTTCTTATCTTTGCAACAATTATTTTTATTTATCACAAAGGGTGAAATGATCGATTGCATTGAACATAATGTATCAAAAGCAATAGATTACGTTGAAGTTGCCCACGAAAACGTAAATATTGCCGAACAAAATAAAAGAAAAGCTAATAAAGTAAGACAATTTCATTTTTTGCAGAAATCTAATTGAAAATGATTGACTTTATTTTTGTTATAGAAAAAAATTATAATTATAATTATTCTCTTCGCAATTTTTCTTGTTATTCTTGTTACTATATTTATCAGTTATTTCGCACAAAAAAAATTCGAAGGAAGATAAATCTATATTCATATTCAATGTATTTTGTTGGTTTAATTGATAATCTACTTGGCTATGATTTATTTGCTTGTATATTTCTAATGTAGACCAGGAAGTTTTTGTGTCACTTTTTTTTCGTTTATTAATTAATAAAAAAAGAAAGAATTAGCAAATACGAAATTTCTTCCGATTGAATCACAGTTTCGAATTGACACGAATCCTAGAAAAGAAAAATTCATATTTCTAGTTTTTAATAGAAACACGAAAACTAGCTTACGTAGTAAATGTTCCAAGACGATAAATGGCAACAATGCATGCACCACCTAAGCCAATATTATGCTGAAGCCCAATTCGAGCACCTGGAACTTGTCGCTTATCAGCCTGATTGCGCAATTGCCAACAAAGTTCAGCACATTGTGCTAAACCTGTAGCGCCCAATGGATGGCCTTTGGAAATAAGACCACCACTAGGATTGACAACATATTTTCCACCATATGTATTGTCACCTCGTTCGACAAATTCACCAGCTTTTCCTTCTCCACATAGGCCCAATGCTTCATATGTGATGAGTTCATTCGCCGAAAAACAATCTATACGAAGAGGTATTTTATTAATACATTATAGTGATTGTCTGTAAAGAATGTTCAGTTTTTAGAAGAATTTATTTGTTCTAATGAACTGTTCTTTTTTCGTATATCGTATTCCTACACTTTCTGTGCAGATATCGATGCATAATGATATAAGAGGTTGTTTAAATTTATTTTTGACTTATACAATTTAGTGCTGTACTTTCATGAAGCGTCGAACTCGAAATTTAAACTACTCATCGATATTCTTTATGGTTGATTCCGTACGTGAGGAACAGATAGACTTGGTTTTTAAATATATGAAAAGTATTTTGCTCAGAAGACAAACTTTAATATCATGACGATTTTGCAAGGCTTTATTACAGATAGAAAAATCATTTCATTCTTCAGGCATACATCATAAACAGGCATGGTAATTGATACTTAAAAAATAGCATGAAACAATCAGTAAACATGCGAATCGTGACTGTACAGATATAATTTAATTCTGATAAAGCAAAAGTCATTGTTGACCTAGCTCTTTCTAGAACACAAAATATATCATTTGCATTATGTTATCAGTACGTCAAAGTTTTCGAGTACAATACACTTCCTAATTCTTATTAAACTAATGTGAAAAAGTCTCTTATATCTTATAGAAATCGTACCATGCAATTCGACAACTTGCACATCACTTGGTTTAATACCAGCTGTTGCATAAGCTTTGTCAGCAGCACGTTTAGCCATATCGTAACCAACCTAAATATTTTGTTTATGAAATGTATTTTCATAATAAAAAAAAATGCTTGTTCCTACTAATCGCATGCAATCATTGGAATCAAATGTTGATGGAAGATCAGTTGCCATCTCAATGGCAAGAATTTCAACAGCATGTTTTTGCACTTCAGGATGTTTTTTAATGTAATTTTCATTCACGATGACAGCTGCTGCACTACCATCTGATGTTGGGCTAAAAAAGATTGGCTATTTGGTATGCATGCAATTATTTATTTTGATTTTTTTTACCAGCATTGTAACTTTGTTAATGGTTCATAGACTACGGGTGAATTTTTAATTTCTTCTAAAGTATATTCATCACGAAATTGTGAGTATCTAAACGAAAGATTGTGAAGCAAGAATTATTTTAGAAAATAAAACAAATTACGGATTATTTTTTGAATGTTTATGATTTTTCCAAGCAATTTTAGCAAATACATCCGGTGAAACATCTATGTAAAATGAAAATTATATTTCTTTATCTTGTTTTTGTCAAGTAACTTACTATATTTTTTCATGTAGTCACGGCCAGCATTACCAAAAAGTTGAGCAGCACCTGGTGCATTCGCAAATTCGTATAGATCCGACATTTTTTCAATATGCTTATCCATGGGATTTGTACGATCAGAGAACTTTAGAAAGAAAGATTAAAAAGCAAAAACGAAAGTTTCGCGTACTTGTGACGTTAATGAACCACGTTGCATTTTTTCAAAACCGAGAGCTAATACACAATCAGCTAGGCCTTAATCATATGAAGACAATAGATGTTTTCATAGGGATAAGAATTAAATGAATTGTCATACCTCCTGCAACATGTTTAGCAGCTAAATACAGAGCAGATGAACCTAGAACAAAAATGAAACAAAATGATTATCTAATGAACAAAATGCATCAGCTAACCTGTCGAACAATTATTATTGACATTGAAAATAGGTACACCAGTCATACCAAGTGGATAGAGAGCACGTTGACCACATGTACTGTCGCCTTGAATACATACAGATAGATCATGTAGATATCTAGCTTAGCGATTAATGCGTATAGTGACGTTATCCTGGAACAAAGGGATCTGTGTGGACAATTTTTAAAGATATAAAGTACGTTAAAGTTCTGTCTGAGATCGTATGATTCGAAGTAGAGTATGTCACCTGATAATATCAAGATCTTAGATAAATTCAAAATGAAATACTCTTCTTGAAAACAAAAAGATAAGATTGATGTTTGAATTAGAACTAAAGAGCAAGCAGATAATTTAAAAATGAAAAAATATTTTGTTTTACACATAAAATCTATACGAGACTTTGAGAAACAATTTCTGTGATACCTATGAATATATTTGATCTATATATAAAGTATTAGCGTAAACAAGGATAGGCTAAGCCGGATGTTGGCTTGTCAATAGAAGAGCCATCATTGAGACTTAATTATATAGGTTACCTCGAAGATGTTAAAGCATAGACTTCGTCCTCATAATGTTTTGGTTACACCACTAACCGGTAGTCTGCTACAAGAAACATTCTTCTATTGGCTTGATAAAAATCAGTTCCTTTTTTTTTTTATCTCAAATATTAACTTTTGAGTAGTTTATATGACATCGAATCAGTACGTAGAGATTATTTTTCCAATATTTTGATAATCCTGAAACCATTAATCTTCATAGCTTACTGTTCGGTTTTATTCAAAAGAAAAAGAAAACCTGCTAAAGTTAGATGAAAAGTATTTATCAATAAAAAAGAGTAGTTTTTCCTCTAAAAATATTAGTTAAATAGTGTTTTGGTAAACGAGTTTCATTCTTTATGAAATCTTGCACTCGTACCCATTTTTCTTATAGAAAATCAACTTGAATTCAAGTCGCTTTAATCCAAAACCTGACAATCTATGTTGCCGGTTGACAAATGTTCTACTATCTTTGCAAAGTTTGACTCTGTTATCTCACTGGTAATGCAGAATTAGATTCTCTTGTGTAGACGAGAAAAAAACATATTAATTTCTTCTCGTAGTACCGTAAACATAGCCAACAAATGCTTGTTCAACATCTTTATATGATACTCCAGCATCTTTAATAGCCTTTGTAGTAGATTCTTTGGCCATATCTGGGTAATCAAAGTCTTCTCGTCGACCTGGTTTTTCAAACTAAAATTATTTAACATTTATAACATTTGAAAATCTTTCAAAAAGATTTATTCAACCTTGGTCATGCCAACACCAATAACATAAACTCGATTTAGCGCTCTACTCATTTTGTTAATTTTGCCAATAGACCAACTGATACACACCTAGCAAACGACAAGAAAAACCACCTTTGCTCTTCTATTTCTATTATCTATCAACAGGATGACTACGAGATAAGCGCGATGACTCATTGGTTGTTTTTGATTGGTCGAAATTCTTGGTTAATAGTGCGCAAACGTTTTAACTGTAAATGCAGTAGAGCAAAAAACAACAAATGTCAACTTCCATGGCATTCTATCATGAATAGTTTGTTGGCTAGTATCTCAACGCATCTTGAAAAATGATTCATCGAGTTTTCTTTTCCTATTTCCTATACAACAAATCCGTTTCATATCAATCAATATTTTATGGTTGTTTTTACTCTTATTTTTGTTCTTTCAGATTTCTTCAAATGTGATGATTTGTTTAATAGAAATCTAAACCATTTCACGAACACAGCTATTCGATGACTAAAGATCGATTGCCCGCTCTGCGGGCTGTAAGTTTCTTTTTTTCTTCTTCTTTTATCTTGTTTAATTTAAAACGAAATTTCAGGCCCAAAATACTGAAGACAGTGATCCAGATGCCGCCTACGTCGCACTTAATATGGAAGATAATAGTCGATTTATGTCCGATTTTTTTGCTCATGTTGATTCACTACGTACAAATATAGATAAAATAAGTGAACTAGTTGATGAAGTTAAACGTCTTCATTCAACAATATTAGCTGCACCGCAAGCCGATGATCGTACAAAAGAAGAACTAGAAGAGAAAATGGCTGATATAAAAAAATTAGCTAATGACGTTCGGCAACGATTAAAAAGTAAGAAGACTTAAAATTAAAATAAGAAAAAAAACTAAATTCGAGATTTTCTTATTCTATCGAATAAATAAAATTTAGCTATGGAAACTGAAATAGAACAGGAAGGAAATGAAAATGCATGGCGTACAGCCGATATGCGTATACGAAAAACACAGGTGCAAATTTTTAAATATTGTCGAAATTTGTACATATATTTGTTTGTTTTAACTGTTGTTTTGTCTTGTTATTCTTTGTTTGCTTTTTTTAACCCTCCTTTACAGAAATGGAAGATGACCAAGAGCAGCCATCACAAAGTAACATTCAAGCATTACCAAGAATGCAAAAAGCACAGGTAGTATAATAAAAAAAAAACGAAATGAACACAGAGACGACACAATACGACGATTGATCGAATTATTCTATGTTTCCTTTTTTGTACTTTTAATTTCTGATAAATTTAACAGATAAAAGTAAGATTTATTTTTATTTAATTTAGCATGCAACACTATCACGTAAATTTATTGACGTAATGAATTCATATCGAAATGCTGAAATTGAATATCGAGAACGATGTAAAGCTCGTATTCAACGTCAACTTGAAATCAGTGAGAAATACTAAATATTTTTGTCATCGTATTGTGTCGTTTGTGTCTATTGTTAATGTTGTTTTCGTACTTATATTGTTTTGTGTTCATTAGCTATTTGTTTTATCGAAAAACTTTCGTGATGTTATGGACGAATACAATCAAGTACAAGTGGGTTATCGAGATAAATGCAAAGGGAGAATACAGCGGCAGCTTGAGATCAGTGAGAAAATTTTGTTTGCTTTTAATGTTATTTTCATTTTAACTCATTTATTTCAATTCTAAACTATTATGCAATTTTTCTAGCCGGAAGATCAGTAACTGATGGTGAAGTCGAAGAAATGCTCGAGTCTGGAAATCCAGCTGTATTCACACAAGGCGTAAGAATTTTTTTTTTAAACTAAAAATATTCTAACTGATTTAATCGTATAGATAATGGTTGAAACAGCCCAAGCTAAACAATCACTGGCTGATATCGAAGCACGACATGGTGATATTATTAAATTAGAAAAAAGTATTAAAGAATTACACGATATGTTCATTGATATGGCTGCTTTGGTTCAAACACAAGTAAAATTTATTTCTTTTTCTTTCCGGTTGAATTTTTACTACGATATTTTTTGACTTGCTAGGGTGAAATGATTGATCGTATTGAATTTAATGTAGTTCAATCCGAAAATTTTGTCAAAACTGCAAATACAGATACAAAGAAAGCAGTCAAATTTCAGAGTGCAGCTCGACGGGTAAGTTGTCGTCAAGTGCTAAAGCAAAAAATAAATAGCTATCGATATTGTGAATGTAAAATTGCATGCTATCTATGTGTTTATGAAAAGCTTTTCTACTATGTTGTACTCATCTATAATTCACAATGCTGATGATTCAATAGGGATTCAAAACCATTTTTCATTATTTTTGCAATAATCATAATAAATAAGAACTATTTATTTAGAAAAAAATTATTCTTATTTTAATCCTGGTGATTGTTGTAATCATTATTGTGCTCGTGCTCGTGATTTACTTTGTAACGAAAAAATCTTGAAACATATCGTTATAATGAAAAACAGAAAAGAAAAGAATGAATGCTATGTCAGAATAGATAGATATAGAAAGAAAGAAAAACTGCAATATCAATGCTCGCAATGCTCACGATGTGGCTGTAAATTTTGAAAGCAAAAAAAAACAAATATATGATGACTCTAAACAATTTTTCTTATTTTGAAGAAATGTATTATCATTGTCTGCATCGTTGTCACAGTTCTCATCATCGTGGCAATCATTATAGCAGCTACTGTGCCGAAAAAAAAATAAGAATAATTAATCTTCGTTTTATTATTTAATTTGTTTATACATTTCAAACCCATCGATAGTCTTTTTTCAATGATTGATAATTTTGTTTTTATTTCAAATGACCATAAGAGAATTTATTGCACAGATATGTACGCTTAGTGTCTTTCTAATATTTTGCTTTATTTATTTTTTGTGTTTTGTTTGTATGTATGTGCACGTGATTTAGTACTATATACATCTATATTATGATTCATTCATTTATTTTTATTGTATTTTTTGTCGTGTTCATTACATCACACATATTTTTATAAATCAGAAAAAAAGAAATAATTAAGAATGTATCACATTTCTCGCAAGCTCTATCCCTGCTTAGCTTTATTGTTAAGTAAGCCAAAAGAAAAAGTCAGCATATTCATTTAATGATTATTGACTGTCCGTAGTATTTGCTATTTGCTTTGTGTCTCTGTTAAAACCCAAACTGCCATTGACTTGGAATGATCTAACACCATTCGGTTTTTTCATTTTCTCATCGTTTATTGTCTTCCGGTTCGTTGCCTACGACTATTAAATTATCCTTAGTCTTTTTCTTCCTCTTCTTTTCTTCTTCATCATCATCATCATCACTGACAGTCAACAGCCTGATACATCTACTTCAAAATACATATAATATATTCTATATTATAATAAAAAAAGAGAGTTCTCTATCAATAATAATTCACATTATGTCGGCACCCACAACTTGTTTAACAATCGGTCTTATTTTAAATGTAACACGTTGAATGAAAAAAGTATTGGCAAAATTTGAAAAAAAATGAGAGAAGAAAACCCATGTCGTTGTGCAATTGTGCGATTTTAGTGATCTTAATTTGTGTAAATGTTCGTTGTTGTTTTGTCTGCATGTTCTAGTGTACTTGAAGAACTTGAACAAAAGAACGACAGAGAGAGAGAGAGAGAGAGAGAAAAATGGAACTTTTTATTTTTTTAGAAAAAAATTATTATGGCTATATGTTTGGTTGTAATTATTCTTATTCTCGGATCAATGGTCGCCTCATGGCTTGGCCTAAAAAAATAGTGTAAGTGAAATGAAAACAAGAAACTCGATGCCATTGAGTTAAATTTTTAATTTTACTGGAGTTCCAGACAATAGGGAAATCTTTCAATATAAATTTCCGTTGATGGAAGAAACTAGTAATTATAATTTGCCTTTTGTCGTTCTTGAATATGACAAAGCAGGAAGTTAGCAAGACAATAAATCTTGATTATAATACGTAATTTAAATATCCAAAGGAATGGCAAAAGCTTAATTGAACGTTGTTCTATTCTGTAAGCAATATAAATATCTAAATTAGTTTTTCTCCGGAAAAAAAAACCTCTTTTTCTCATTTCTATATGTGAAAAATAAAAAATCAATGATTTCTTAGGATAAAAAATGAATTCGCTTATTGATTGTTAATTATTTTCTATCTTTTATTTAGACCTGTTCAAATCAAATCATAGGAATATGGCTGTATCAGTTTTAATAAGTTTCCAGTTTTTAGTTCTTTTTTTCCCTAGGCTATATATATATATATATATTGATGTATATGTAAGCAAAAAGAACAGCAGTTTTATGTTATTTTCCTTTTTGTTCGTGCAAATATTATCATGTACTAGATCACTATGATTGATAAATTCAGTCGATTAAACGAAGAAAAGTTTTTTTTTCCTTCGCTGCTTTTTGTCTACGTGTGTTATGTCAGTCAAGTCAGATGAGTGTGCATTATGTTTTTCTTTTTTTTCTGTAAAACCTCAAGATCAGAAGATAAATTCCAGGAGTCAATCTTTTTTTTTGTTTGTTTATTTTATTTCATATGGATAATTATGCAAAGAAATAGGAGAAAACTGAATGAAAATGATCAAAATTTCTCGCACTCTTTTTAATGCCTCTTGTGAGTCTATGGTTGTGCACACATGCACGCGCTTTTTATCATGTATTTCTCTCTTTTTTTCCGTGTCTGTGTAATGCAGTTTGGTCTATCTAGTCTGTCGTTTCCCGCAATTCTATTCTTTTTCTCTTACTTTCTCTTTGAACACGCACACATATTACCCTTCTTTTTTTCCAAATAGATTATTATTTTTTTTCCATGCACAGAAAATAATAAAGGTGGACGAGCAATGTATTTTACGCACGACAAAAAAAAGAAAAAACAGTTTGAAATAATCGGATCGATAGGCATACAATCACAGCATGTACGACTTCTCCTGTTTTTTTCGTTCTTCGTCACAACATAAAATCCAATAGATTAAAATCTCTAATCAAGTCACAAAAACAAGCGGTTTATGAAAAATTAATTTGATTTTAAGTATGGTTCAAGCCATTTTTCATATGCTGATAGTTTCACATAAACACTTGGTGATAGATTTGGTGTAATATCCGAGCCATAGGATGTTATACCAAGAACAATCCAACGACCATCCGATTGACGTATTAGTAGAGGACCACCAGAATCACCACTCTATTAAAATAAAATAATGCATTATTCGGCCTTTTCTCCTTTGTATGCAAAGTCCAATGAGGAAAAAAGCCAGGCATACCATTGTGTCTGTTCGTTGTTCATAGTCACCGGCGCAAATTTCAGTAGCTGGATCAAATATCTTCTCATATGCACGATTACAATACTCATTATCGAAAATAAGTACATCAGCTAAATTAAAAAAAAACAATTTGTCTGTTATTACGGTTCCGGAATTGAATTTAGTCACGGCTTGAATGAAAAAACAACGTTCTTTTCTCCTTGAGCTTTTTAATTCTATACATTGATTCAATCGTTCTCTTTGAAGACAGAGTACAGCTTTGATTATACTTCCGTTGCATTCACAATGAAAGAGTATAGGAAGTATAGTATACTTTTAATGGAATAATTTAACGCCTTTTGAACCAATTCGCGATTCGAAGTAGAAACTGAGTAGATGCGGTTCCTTTAAAGATCGAACTGATATGTGCCCGATTTTCAAACATCGATCTAATTCGAGAATCTAAATTTTACCTTGCTGTAAAGAAGAACTTTTAATAAAATTAGTCATTGCATTTTGTGAAGTTTCACCCCATCCAATAATAACACCTGTACGATTTATTAAATTTTGATCATTGTCCACAGTAAACTCTTGTGAAAATGGTAAACAAACCGAATTTATTTTCGGTCCGTAAAGTACACGTTTTTTTAATTTAATCACAGCTAAATCATTTTTACAACAATCTTCAAAGTCTGGATGTCGATATATTGATTTGATTGAATAATAATTAAAAGGATTTAATTTGCCAAGTATTGTATGTACGCCAATAATAGCTTTAATTTCATTAGCTGTTCTATTGAATACACAATGTGCAGCAGTTAGAATCGTATCTTCATTAACGAGCACACCTGCACACATCCAACTCTGACTTGGCTTTGTCGACAATGCAACCATCCAAGGCCTAAAAATTATGCGACAATCTCAAAGTTAAATATCAACACGAAAAGAATATTGAACTGTTGATCTTACCACGTATGCCAAATAGCATCATCGCCACCTTTTATTTTCGATACAATTTTTGCTCGTTTATTGTAAATCATTGGTTCATCATCCACCGCATATCCACAACCTCTTGTCGTCATTAGATGATGCGTTGATTCTGTATGACGAGTAAAAAACATTCGAAAACGATGAAAATATTCGAAAAGTTGGCTTTTTATTTTTGATGCTGTTGTAGAGATTTTATTTATAAATTTTCCAAAATCTGATGCTTCAATATGTGTGATTGCATTGAAACAAATAGCCAATAGAAGAATATTCACCATACGAGACATGTCTATGTAAGATTAGTATGTCTCGTTTAGGCCAATACTACCACCATATGCACTCATGCCCGTAAGATACACTTTCCTTGCCTTTTTTTTCTTCTTTTTTCGATCCAAGATCATACAATAATAAGTAATGAGAGAATGAAGAAGAAAAAAATATATCGAGGGACGAGACACTATAAATGTACAAACACATCTGGTCTCTTTCTCTATTTTTTGCTTGTGTTATGCGTTCTATCATGTTCAATCAAGAATTTTTACTCAGTATATATATGTGAGGACAAAAATATGAAAGACTGATCGATCGAAATATTCTCTTATTAGATAAAAGAAACGGAAAAATAAAATTTTCTTCGTTGTCCTTGTTCAATATCTCTTTCAATACTGATTACAAAGATAGATAATAAATTCGATTAACACAAATCAATTAGATATAACTTGGTCACATTAGGAACAATAAAATCATTGCAAAAAAAATGAAATTAATTGATAGATCAGTCCTTTTCTTGTTTTTAAACGACTTTTGTATTGTAATTTCAAATATGGAAGTTTCTGTAAAAATGAAACCTCAACGATTTCCTCATATTGTTACATTTACAATTAATTTAATTGTTGGCAAAAATAAATAGATTCCAGCTGATAAATAAACTTCATATATCTGTAAATAATTAATTATTCAATCGATGATTAACATATAATATAAAACAAAAATAGAATAATAATACAAATGGCAGTTTCTGTTCGAAACTTTGGATCTAACATTTATTTGCGTGACCTATTGAGCTGGAATAGGTCATCGTACGTTCTATGATAACAATAAATGACCTTGTAGTAAAAATAGAATACACGAAGTGCGAACTCGGTCGTTCGTGTTCTTCTTTGTCTAATAAAGAGGCATAGAATTTGATCGACGCTTCAAGATAATAATAAAAAACGCAAGAATACAATTTGAAATCATTTTTTTCGAAAAGTAAAATTTACGGTTGATATCTTTGGTTAAGCAGTTATCGAACGAGAATTGAGTTTAGTAAAAAAAAAGGTTCTAAAAAATATTGAATTTTATTTGTAAGGCAAAGAAAAAAGGGATCATTTAATTAATATTGAATTCGTACTTGAAGCTTTTCGTTTTATAGTTTACTGTAGAAAGTTGTTTTTCAGTTATAATGATGATAAGTTGTATAGAGTTGATGATGATATAATTAGAAATATCAACGCCTATCTATCATCATCTGCATTATTCATTGTCCAATAAGTACCATCGTTATATAATCTCTATGAATTGAAATCATTATATGATCGTGAATATTCCGGTATGATATTATTTTACACTGTAAGTGAACCAACATGCAATACAATAGGTTAACAATGATGCTTGTTAGCTTTATTTTCATAACAAAAAAGCCAAATGATAAACGTGATATTACTCAAGCTTATTTACTTCTTCAAAGTAAAAACAGATTATTTTTATTTACAAAGACTTATTTCTTTGTTTTTATTTTAAGTCTTTTCTAAATAAATTATCATGCACTAGGTTAAAAGAAAAAGACAAGAACTTATCTAGTTCCATCTTCTGTATGACATATGGTGCGTATTATCTTAAATGAACGTGGATATAGACTGTCATGCAATCTTACTTCTGTTATTATATTAAATTATTTAATCCTCTGATCCATTAGATCCTATTGGAATATTTATGACCGATATATTAGAAGACCATATTAGCAAAAAAAAACAATTAGCAAAATGTAAAAATGAGAAATATAGAAAAAACAACCCAGAATATTCGAAATATTCAAAAAATGTCTCTATTGAATAGTATCACTCAAGTCTTTCATATCCATCGTCTGCCATTCATCGTGTAACGAACGCACACGTGTGTATATTTTGTTTCTGATAATCATAGTATAGATCATTGAATTCGTTCGTATTAATGATAAACAAATGTGACGAAAAGATCTGTCCAATAAAAGCAATGATAATATTTGCTTCAGACACGCGTATACCAAGAATAAAAAAATATCGAATCTAACTTGTTGGCACATAATAAAAAAAGGGCCGAGAGGGTATAAACGAGAATATACCATACCACTATTGAAGAGATACAAAAAGAACATCAGATGATATTCTCACCTACCGTTGGTGATTCATCTGTTACTGGTAATTCAAATACTTGAAGAATGAAAAAGAAATTTATTCGATCGCGAGACTTGTAATTACATCGAATTGCTGCTTTTCTCTCGGGCAGAAAACCTTGCCTATGGCATTGAGTATTTAATAGATTGCAGTTTGAATATCGAATAAACTTGAAAATATGGCGGCTAAAATAAAAATATGCTCTTTCGAACCAAGTAATATATTCTTTTCAATGGCACATGTCATTCTCATTTGACAGACGGAAACAAAATCTAGGAAGAGAAACAATGGAGCGAAAAAAAGAAGAAAAAAATTAACGACTGTAAATTACAAGCAAACAAAATCTAGATACAACAATCATTTCACAGAATAGTCCCAAAAGAAGACATTGAACGTTACTGTCTTTTTGTTTTGTTTTCATATATATATATATATATATATATATTATATATAGATGTCTTATTTGACTAGATGAAAATATAGAATAAAAAGAATATTTCATTTATTCTTGGTTAATTTTTGTTGTAATTGTAAATAATATGTTTGCATTTGTTGAAATATTTCTTGTTGATTTGCTGATATATTCGAATCAAAAAATGGTGTCATTGCATAAAATGGTAGGAACGTTGATGATCCCGGATTGGTTTGTACCGATGAAGGACTAACTGTGATATTGTTGTTATTATTATTATTATTATTATTATTATTTCGTTTTGACAGACTAACGGGTGTAGATCGTTTTCTTTTCGAACATAAATTTAATGGTTGTTCACTTTGTTTCTTTGATAAATCCAGTGGTTTGGTATCATCCTCAGCATTGGTAGGTGTCAAACGACAATGTATAGCGGGAGGTGGCGGCGGTGATTGTTTTATTTGATCATCATCAGAGGCTGTTGTCAACGACATACTGTTCGAATCACCTTGAGAAAAAAAGAAATGAATTTAGCTAAGATCAAATAAATCATGTATTTACTTGTTTCTTCATGATCAGCGTTGGCTGATTTTTTATTTGTATTGCATAATGATGGGGCAAATTTATATTTTTTTATACAAACATCACAACGACAATCACCCCGATGACGAATATTCGATGAACGAGATGATGATGACGACGATGAAATTTGGCTTAACTAGAGTGGGAAAATAGTTTTTCATTTTTCAAATTTTTCTTGATTCTTACTTCGGATTTAATTAAAATTTCGTTTTCATTATCACTACCATCACGAGAATCGAAATCAGAATCGAATTCTAAAATGAGAAAAGTATTTTATGTTAGAAAAATTTGGTCTCTATAAACTTGATATATATATATATACTCGTACCCGTAATAGTTCCATCATTATTGAAAACAATACGTCGATTACTACGTACAATGCGATTTATGGATGATACACTTGGCAGTTTATCCGATGGGCAAATGCCTTCTTTTTGAAGACTTTCACGAATTTGCCAAGCAAATATTTGAGGATTATTTCCTTTATATTCACGAATACGCCGAACCACGTCTGGTGTGGCTACTTTAGGTTTTGAACCACCGATCAGACCAGGATGTGTTGTACCAAATAGACGATATCTATTAAATATCAAAAACAATATTCATCTATTGAACTTCTTCGAACAAGAAAAAAATATGAGTCGTGTGTTAGTCATGCATATTTATTCAGCTTAAACCATCACCGGAAAACTTTTATTATTTGAACTTTTATTTCTAATTACTCTTACACTATAATCGAAGAAAAAAACATCTGAATTTGTAAAAGATATTTTTCACATTCATTCGTCCTTTGAGAGAATCAAAACTTACCTTTTTAATATTTTACTGACACAACCGTGTGATACTTGAAGCTAAATAAAACTTGGTTAGAAAAAATATCGAATTGGCGATAAAGTTTATTACTTGGCGACTTATTTCACATGGGCGTACACCACTTTCAGCTAATTCAACTATGCGTTCACGTGTATCAGTTGGTAATGGGCGACCATTGATAAATTCACCACCTAATTGATTCATTGATGACGAGCAAAATCGATTTTTTTCTAAATAAGAAAAATAGATAATTTAATGATTTGCTATCAATTGATTTAAATCAATTGGTTTAAATCGATTAATAAGAAGACAGAGGGACAAAACTCAATTGCTTACGTCTTTTTATGCCAGTGGAAGAAGTGCTGCTTGCTGAATCTTGAATTTTGTCTTGAGCTACAACGAAAATAAAAATAAGAATGAATTAAAATTGATTATTTCTTACCGTCATGTATGGATTCTGTGATTTCATTTTTATAATTCTCAATTTTTTCGTCACTACTATCAGTATCTTTTCTCTTGTTATTATTATTGTTATTATTATTATTCTGATCAGTTGAATGCTTATCAGTCATTATTGTATCAGTCAGTGACAGAAACGAGAGGAGAAAAATACAGCTAATAGCAAATGTTTGTCATGATCTGAAACAAAAAAAAATATATATATTTATATATATATATTACATTAAGTACGTGGTTTGGTAAAAATCAAGCATTTTCTCTTTTTTCTTTTTTTCCACCCTATTTTAACATATTCGGTTGTGCATGATTGATGCACTCTCATTTCGTTACTCTTTCTTTCTTCTCTGCTTTTCGCAGTATACTTACAGTTAACAAAATGGTATCATATTCTGAATTTTTTCTTCCTCTTTACTTCAAACGAAGAGTATGGCTGTTGCTGCTTCACTGGCAACAGCCGAAAAAAATAGAAGGACATTTTTCAAGATTATAGATGCGGCTGTCGTCATCGCCTACACTCCTCTTCTCATTAACGATCGGTTTTGTTCACGCACGAGTTCTCTTCGTTGCCGTTAATACTGCCTTTCCTCTGCCTCTCTTGCTCCGTGAAGCAAGCAGTAGCGCGTTCATGTATAAAGAACAAAAAATTTTTGCAGAAAAAAAAATGAGAAGGAAGAAAACGCCAGACGCGCTTGTGCTTGCATGCTCTATAAGAGATAGGCAGGCAGGCAGGCAGGCAAACAGACAGACAGACACGCTTCATCTATTCAAGTAATCAGCCGCTCGGCAACACATCTGCATAGATGTATGGCTAATACTACCATCGTCATTAGAATCAACATAGTTGACAGTTTATAATTATCGAAATAGAAAAGTATTAAGAGAGAATTCCCATCGGCGTGACTAATTGCGTGTGTAACCAAGCAAATAGGAAACGATGTTGTGTATGTCTTTGATTAAAGCGAGAAGGACAGGTTATTTCTTGTTTTTGAGACACAGAAATATGTTACAGTAAAAGAAATCGAGAAGGAAGAATATGGCCAAGAGGCAAAGAGAGAGAGAGAGAAGAAATAGACGATGAGGAAGAAAAAAAGCGTGTCGACAACAGTGTGTTGTTTATGCATGAAAGACAATGATTTTTCTTCGTATTTGCTTGTACCCTTCATTTTTTTTCCATTCACCTAGTTTGGCACCGTATATGTTTATGTGTATGCTAGTAGCGATGCTATGCAGAAGAACGCGATCGACAAACGAGCGACATTTATTTATATAAATATATAGGAAAAGAGAGAATGATGCTGTCGTTCGTTGTTCATCATGTGGAACGAATCTTATTCCTCTTGATTTTTTTCTCGCTTTCTCCTCTTGTTTCTGATGTTGATGCGTTTTCTCTCTCCTCCAGACATATCATCATCAAGTAACAACTACCCCTCAACATTAACCTATAAAAAAGAAAAAAGTGCTTACATACCCACATACTCACTCAAAGGCTCGATCATGCGTTGATCTACAGTATACAAAAAGAAAAAAAAATGACGCAAAGCTTTCGGGTGTCTACTGAAGGATTAGACATGCAAAACCTTGACACAAACTGCAGTGATGATAGACAACTCAATTAGATCGATAAATCGAGGTTGTCAATTGAGTGAGAAGTAAAACAAAAAAGAAAGGGACAAAATGAAGAATAAGATAGAAATTAAGTACGAAAAAAAAAACGAAGAAGAAGAAAAGAAATTACGTTGAATTCCGATGAGCGCTAGAGACAAAAAGAATATTAGGAAGTAGAGAATGATGCGTGCTGTGTTGCCCCGGTACAGTGGTTGCTATTTACTATAGACCAACAATGCGCAAACGCAAGACAACGAGAAATAATAGTAGTAGTAGTAGTGAGCGAAAAAAGGTGATCTGTTCTAGTCCGTCATGCATCTATCTCTCCTTCTTTTTCTCTCCGGGTCTCTCTCTCTCTCTCCCCTTCGTTTTATGTATACTACTCGCCCTATTGGCTTTAGTTCACCATTATGATGATGAAATCATGTATACTCGACTCTTTTCTCGTTCGTATAGCTTATAGCCATGCATACATCGATAAAAGTAGTACCGTCGTCTTATGATGGTTGTTGATGTGGGTGTAGCTATCGTAGAGTGCCATATGTAAGTGGCATAGAATGACACGCATCACGGTTCGATTACGTTCTGCTGTTGCCGCCACCACCATACAGCACGTCTGCGATGAAGCGAACAAGCGAACGATATATACATCTATGAAAACGAGAGGAAAAGAAGAACGACACAGAGAGAGAGAGAGAGGGATAATTATATTTTCTGTGTATGGTATGCAGGCGCGAACAAACGTTAGTCCCACTCTCCCATCTCACCGACAAATCGATGTATACAAACTAAACTATGCAGGAGTAGTAGAACAAGCATGTATCATTCTGTTGATGACAACGAGACAAGCTTTAGAAAGCGAATGAATAAAATAGATGATGATATTTAGACACCTGTGTTTGTTCAAGATAATAAGACTATTGGCGAGGGCCGTAATCGTCTCGCTCGGAGACTTTGCTGTGTTCTCATTTGCTTCTATCAATATAATCTACGTGTTCGATGTATACGCATACATATATATATTCTATGCTTCAATTATTTTATGCTTTCTTCGTTTTAACTGAAGTTATAGTTACCCTCACCTACTTACCATCTTTTACTTTCGTTTTGTCGATGTCGCTCTCATTCTCTCGGCTTTTTTTTTTCTTTTTGATAGATACAAAAAAAAACGGCACGCCGCGTGCGCTTATACTCTCGTCGCGTTGTCTCATTTCGTTTGTTCCGTTCTCGACGGTTTGGTTTCGCTTTGCGAGCTTTTAATCTTTTTTCCCCCTCACCGTTATACGTCTGTGTATATGTGTGCTCGCTTCGTTTTGTCTTTGTCAGCTATTGATTCTCTACAAACACACACACAAAACGAGTACACGCTTACGGACACACACACGCACTCACACATAGCCGATGATGGGAAGAGGAGCGCACCGAAAAGTGGGTGGAAGAACGATAAAGAGAGACAGCGACAAGGAGAAGATCACCTCATTCATTATTGCACCAGATGACTGTTATATTGCTTGCTTGATATATAACAGTTGGAGACCAATGCATTCTACCATTTCGTTCCATTCGGGTGACGACAATGATGACGTCCCGTTGAGTAGCACTTTTACGCAGTTATGAAGATATAATTTTTCTTCGGCATCTATTCTCTGTTTACTCGTATGCTTATATTCTTTTTCTCAATACAATAATTCTTACAGATTCCTTTGCGTTTCTATGAATGCCGTACATATATATATATATATATGTGTGTGTGTGTGTGTGTGTGTGTGCGCGCGCGCGTATCTCCAGAGACCGTAAAAATATGCTATGCTTCACTGCAATAGATAGTAGGTTGGTCGATCTAACGCGTATATTGGTGTATGTGTATGTGAGTTCATCACAAGCATCGAATGCAAGCAGAAAAAAAGAAAAAAGAAGAAAGCAGATATATATATATATGTTACGAGAGAGAAAAAAAGAGTGAAAAAGAGACTCATACATGCATGAAAGCACGTAGCCATCTTATCATCAATGCCACTAGTAGAACTCGGTTGATTTAGAATAGTAACGAGTCGGTCGGCCTAATGAGTAATGTTTCGATTTCACGCTCGAACGATATGGATCCCGCGCATTTTATCCTCAAGAAATTTCATTTAGTCGTTTTTAGCAACCAAAGATACTCATATATAAATGCATATGTATGTGCGTGTAGCACGAAAGAATAAGGTAGATCGACGAGGAGAGACAGAATATACTGACTGGTGTAATCACATTCACTGTTCGGATGGATGGCATGCATTTGATGAGCACCAGTCAAGTGTGTGCGTGCTGCATTTAAACTCATTTCGATTAAAACAGTGTATGTGTAGATGAATACAGAGAGAAGACGACAACGGATGACAGCTAACTCGTGATCATCGAACTCCCCGAGTGACTTAAAAAAATTCAATGAATAAATGAATTTTTCTGCAATAGAATTATCACATGAAACAATATATCTATGTAAATCTTACTAAAAAAAAAGTATATATTGTTATATATATATATATATCGACATTCGTCATTATTCAGGTTCAAAAAAAAGGGAAGTATATTCTTCTCCTGTTATCGATAATTTTATTCAAGCTATTGATTGTGCGGCGATATTTTTCTACTGGGTCATATCTACGAATAAGAGATAAAACAGAACTGTGAAAGAACACTTCCATTAATCATCAGAACTAAATGAATTAATTCACTTATTTTAAATAATAATTATAAAATAAAAATTTCTCTCCTATGATATTTAATTTATTGCAAGAATTAAATCGAAGATTTCAAACGAAACAATTTTCAAAAGAATCTCGATATGAAAATATTTCAGTTAAAAAACAATAGATACGATGAATATGATTTGATATATTATATAAATAAACTTACCCATGAAAGTTTGCTATCGATTGAAGTTTATGCTAGTAAAATATGCTATTGTCAAATTAATTTCCAAATAACGTTTAAAAGAGAAAAATCAGATTTTCTTTTACATATAGAGGTCGCAGGTAATTGAAGTTTTTCCTCAATCAGAATGGACTATCGACATTACCAATCATATTTCATCAAAACGAAAAAAAAAATTTAGAAATTACTTTCATTATTTATTATTACTAAGCATATTCATTAGAAAAATCTTTTTGGCATACTACCCATCAAAGTTTCCAATGGCAAGTGTACACAGCAGAAGCAAAATGTACAGAACATCTGATAGTTTTGATTTATACTCTGCTATACACATACACATGCCCAGAAAAACAAAGTGTACAATGTGCACTTTGCTAAAATAGTTTACACACGAATTTCTTTGATCTCTGAACCTTAAAAGCCGCATATAGTTTTAAATTAATTAAGTATGATATTTTTTTTTCGCTAGTGATCAAAATGTTTGTTTCATGAGATAAAAAATAGCGAAAATTATATTTTGTTTTCTAGATTGTAAAAATTAGATTTTTGTACACTTTGATACACTTTGCTGAAAATAGTAAAGTGCAATGTGCACTTTGCTCATAAAAAACGAAGTGTACAGGACATTTTGTTTTAGACTTCCATTGGAAACACTGCTACCAATAAGTTAGTTTTTAGAGAAGCGTTTTTCATATTTCATTAGTCATTTTCTTTCCTAATGATAGTCATGATGTGAACCAGTGTTTCCAATGGAAGTCTAAAACAAAATGTCCTGTACACTTTGTTTTCTTTGAGCAAAGTGTACATTGCACTTTACTATTTTCAGCAAAGTGTATCAAAGTGTACAAAAACCTAATTTTCACAATCTAGAAAACAAAATATAATTTTCGCTATTTTTTATCTCATGAAACAAACATTTTGATCACTAGCGAAAAAAAATATCATACTTAATTAATTTAAAACTATATGCGGCTTTTAAGGTTCAGAGATCAAAGAAATTCGTGTGTAAACTATTTTAGCAAAGTGCACATTGTACACTTTGTTTTTCTGGGCATGTGTATAGCAGAGTGTAAATCAAAACTATCAGATGTTCTGTACATTTTGCTTCTGCTGTGTACACTTGCCATTGGAAACACTGATGTGAACTACTAGTATAGAAATGGAATAGTATATTAAAATACAGTTTCATTGATTAAATCCTATTTTCTTACCTTAAGATTAGTAGTTAAACCAGAAGATAATCGAAAATCTATACGAATAACACTTTGACGACTAATTTTGATAAGTTTTTGACCTGTAAATTTTGTTTGTAAATCCAAAAGAATCTACATACTTTTCTGTTTTTACAAACAGTATTTATAGGCGAGAACGTAATGCTCTGCTACGTTGAGCACTCGCCTCCGCTTCACCCTCTTTACGCCTTCGTCTATCAATGTTGATACACATCTAATTACAATTCTCTACATATCACTGTGATCTACAAAAGGAAATAACTAAGAAAACGGAAATGCTGCAATTCATTGTGCAGTAATTACTAGTCAATGAACGACCTTCACGAATATTCAAGAAAATACTATTCATGACAGTGAACACAATAGATGAAGCCAGACATCAGAACCGGCAATGACGATCTCAGTCAATATAAAGTGGTAGTACCGAAGCAAAGTAAGGCTAAGTAGCTATAACTTCTAGTCTATCATAAAGACTACTCTGACATGATGCTAAGAACGCCGTGCCAAAAGCAAAAAGTACGTCATTACACCAGATATTTTAGATTCATTAAATAAAAATTATGGACGATAATGCAAGTGATAAAAAACGTGTTATTCTTGATGATGATCAAGAAGAAATTTATGAAAATCCTCCACATATCTGTTATTGTTTATGCGGACAAATGGCATTGATTCTAGGTAAATACAAAATAAATTTCTTATTCAATTTTCTATGTGTAGAAAATCATTTCTAGATTGTGGATTAGAATATTTACCAATGAGAAAACGTGATCGAGCTCGTGTTATTGATTCGAAGCAGCATGCACATAAAAAGTTTTGTAAAGATGAAGATTCACCTGCTTATATTCGTCGAAAGTAAATTGTTTTCAGTTATCTATTCGTGTAATATAATCATTTTTCTTTCATAGAGATGAAGGTATTGAAACACAATATAGAAAAAAATGTTTAAAGTAAATTAAACCACGAAGTTAATTCGATATGATTGTCTTAAAAAATTTTCTTTTGCTATTAGGTGTGGTCTTTCGCTATTTTATCAGCATGCTCTTAGTAGTCCTATAACATTTATTTTCGATGGCGCTTTAACAATCGAAGCAACTGATGCATCGAATATATACAATCAAGTTCTTGGGTCTGAATCGAAGAAAGTTATTAAAAATATTAAACGTGAAGATCGTGGAAAAACATCATCGGTTACCGTATCAACGCTGGACGAAGAAGAAGAAGAATTGGAAGCAAGAGAAATTGCTAATTCTTACACACAGAATGCACGCGTTATTGAAAAACAACTTGAAAGAAAAGGAATGAATAAACGAAAAGCAATTGAAGAGGTTTGTTGAAATAATTTATCAATTATAGTTGTCATGCATGTTTGTTGTTTGTTTTAGGCTGCACGACGTGAGCAAGAAGCGAAACGAGCGAATATTCGAGGAACATTGATTGATAAATAATTTAAGTTTTGTATATTGTATAAATATAAAAGAAGATTGTCCATCTTTTCGTCAAAAACAAAATTGCATGATTCCGGAGATCGTCAGGGTGTGCCTGAATTCTAAATGTAGGTCAGTAGCTACGATATATCCTAATCTGCTAAATATTCCAATAGAGAAAATTTTAAAAATAATTTCAGAAAACCAACGAAAACCATTATTTATTCGACTAAAATACTAAATAAGCACATATATAATTAAAAGTTTAGTTCGAGTGTTAGGAACTATTGTGTCTTCACATTCTAGTGTGAAATAGTCAATGCTTGACGAGATGATTTTAACATGGGCAATTTAACAATGCTACTGAATGATTTTGGTAAACTTTTTTTATCGTGTTGGTCAACGATAGATGCGTAATAATCGGTAATTAATGTATCCAAGTCTTTCATAGTTCCTTGTTGTAGTAATGAACTATTCAGTAAAATTTGCTTGATAGCTAATTCATCACGATGGATATTTATATGAGCTTTACTTCGATTAATAAACTGAATACGTTCGCGTATTAACGGTAAAATTTCATCATGATGCGTAATTAAATTTGATAAAGGAACAAGATAATTTTTATCATCATCATCATAATTAATTAGTTGTCGACGTCGACTAAGCGATACTTGTCGATCGAAATTATTTTTTGGTAAATTAAAAAGAACAGGTAAAAATGATGAACGATCTACGCCATTCATAGTTTCCTTGGGTTGTTCACGGCCTGTACGTACAAGACGTTTGTGTAAACGATATGCCATTTGATGATGATTATCTTGTTTTTTAATACAATCCAATGGTTGTTCAAAATAAGAATAGAATGGATCGGAAAGAGCGTCTTGAAACCAAAATTCACGAAAATCAATTGTAACGCGTTTTCGTCTTAATTCAAGAATACGAGCTTGTTCTACGGTATAATCTTTCCAACAATTGAAAAATTCTTTAACAATATAATCATCACGAAAACGTTGCGTTGTTTGTTTAACTCGAGATTCAATTCTACAATCGAAAGTATTCTAATTATTATTAGACTTTTGAAGTCAAAGATGCACACTTATCTAATTTGTTTTGCTTTTTAAATAAACCTGATTCATCAATGAAATCATCGTCAAAGTAATAGGATATATCTGACATCATATATTTGTTCAACGGACGAAATTCATCTGTATGTGCACAAACTAAAATTGATTCATCAACAAAATTTACATGAAAGAGTCTCAAGCATAATTCAGATTTTGTTAATTCAATTTTGCTTACTTGTATCGCTGGGTTGCCATCCATTATATAATTGAGGCACTCTTGGAGCTAGACGTTTACTAAAATGTTCATCTCTCCTAATGGCTGTTAATGAAGTGCGACGAATGTGTTTTTCTTCAGCTTGCTTTTGAAAAAATTCCGCTAGAAATGGTATGACAAAAGAATTTAGGTCTTTTCAGATTTGATCACTTACGGATATATTCTGAAAACATTGCTGGTTGATCGATTTCTTTTGTATCGTTATTAAAATCAAATAATTCCCTGTCAAGATCATATGCATCAATATCATGAAAATGATCACGATGATTATTATCGAAATCGAAATTTTTTATCATAGGTTTCAATAGATGTAAGCGAGTTCGATGGAGCTTTTCATTTGTATTACTGTATTGATGACGTGTCTGATCAAAATTGATAGCCGATAAAGGTGGAACTGTAAATCTTTTTACATTGAGTAAATGCATTGCAATAGTTTCTTTATTTTTTACAGATTTTAAATCAATTGGAATGTTTTCTGTCTTGTCGTCTATCTTAAATCTTCTTCGACTTGTTGATTTACTTTTTTTTGATGATTTAGATCGTGATTGTTTACGAGGAGATTTAGCTAAAAATTAGAAAAAAAGAATATAGCAAGTGAATCGGAATTTTATTAGATAAACTGTTTCATTACAATTCTACCGGAATCCGATAGTCGGTAAAGAAAAGTCAGGCTTACATGAATGTTTTCGTCTTTTCTTTTTCGATTTTATTGTAACATAATCTTCAACATCGATTTGTTCGTCTGGCGTAGCAGAAATGAATGGAACTGCTTTACGTGGAGTTAATATAACCGATTCTTCTTCGGGCAATTTTTCGATTTTCTTCTTTATTCTATTATCTTTAGTATTTGTTTGTTTGGTTGTTTTTAACTTTTTCTTCGTCTTCTTCTTCTTTAGTTTACCACCATCGCCAAATTTATGATAGATAACTTTTCCTTCAGATACAACAGGAGGCACTGGTTCAGTTTCCTGGCTCTCGAGTTCGATATGGAAAGTTTGGGTAGGCAGAATTTCTTCTGGTTCAACATCTTCGATTTGTTTGATAGCAACAGATTGATGTTTTCTCTTGGCAGATTTCTTTTTATGAATTTTTTGTTCCTTCGTCTGCTGAGATATTGCTGAAATTTTGATTTCGGAGATGTTCATTGTTGGCTCCAAATCCTTCGGTGAGAAGGAAGAAGAAGATGCCTTGGTGTACAAAGATAGGGTTTTAAATTTATACTACGTGAATGTATTACTTGGGTTATTTCTTCAACCGATTGAACGATATCTGATAATTTCGAAGGTATTTTTTCATGATTATCAAAATTTAAAAATCCAGATGATTTATTTACCAATAAATCTTTACTCATAATATCGAGTAAGATTTCTTTTGATGATTCAGTTTCTTCTGGTTCCTCTTGAATCGGAGAAAGACTAGCAGCAGTAGAATAGAAAGATTGTTTGGTTTCAGATTTTTGACTAAAATGACTTATTGTATTGATATCCGATGTTTTAGACTGTAATTTAAGAGTGCTCGTTGGACGTTGAACAGGAATTAGGGGCGGTATCGGTTCAAGATTTTCTTCATACATTGTTCGTTGTGGAACAAGAAATGTACGTTTTGACAAGTCTAATCGATGATGAATAACTGTATTGCCTTGTTTTGTTTTTTCATATGTGACTAGACGTGTTTTTCGTTTGACTTTTTCACGAAATTTTTCATCAGCTCTTTTTTTTTGTTCATCGATTATTGATGCTGGTGAATTCATATCAACAAACTATCAATAATTATGATATTTTTAAACAGACAGAAGTATTCAAGACATCTAGATTCAACATAGGGTGAAAATAATCGATTGGACGAATTCTCTGCGAGTCTTGAAGTATATCTACTCATAGACTGTGAACTGCTTTTACAGCACAAGAATCTCAACCAATAGATAATGGGTAAACTTTTGCTAATATGGAGTTCATAAAAGGAAAATTGCTAACTGGTTAGTACGCTAGAATTTACTCGTTGTCGAACATAGACTTCTCCATATTGTCGTTGCGTTTGAGCAATAGGTCGTTGTGTTGATGTAGCAGTTTGTCGATATTTAGATTTTTTCTCCGTAATTGAATACTTCTGAACATTTCCAACTACTGTTAATAATGGTGACGGTGAAGCATCAACGTTGATAGGATATAAAGAACTATTCAAGTTTTCAATAGAATTTGATTGGAAACGACTTTGACTAGGTATACGAATTTTATGTATAGCATCAACTGTGTTATATTCTTCATCGTGCTCAATGGTTACGCCTTGTTCCATCGGCATGGGAATTTTCTAGAAATATCAAATTATCTGTAGAACAACCAATTATGCTTTGAACTCACTGGTGGAAGTTGTGTATCTACCAAGTCCGATGTTTGCTTTTGCAGTTGTTCATTTTGTTCTTTTGCATTAGAAATTACTAACGAGAGATTAGCTTGCTTTTTTGAATCAATCTGTAGTAGTAGTTTGCTGACAGCAGGTGTAATTGTGATTTGATCTGAAACATTTTTTCGTTCCTCAATAATAGCCTCTGGTGGAGCTATTGGTAGGATTTGAATATGAGCATCATGATGCTTTTCTCCCTTTGATGACTGAACTAATGAACCTTCTTGTTGTATTTCAGGTAGATGCTGGCGAAGATTGACTTGGATTTTTCGATGAATTTGTTGTTGACGCGATTTTTCTAAATCAATATAAACTGTTAAGCATATTTAAAAAGAAAAGAAAAACATGCCTAATTGATGGTAATCTTCGAAAGAATCAGCTATCTTTAGATCGATAATTTTGTTTTGATATTTGTCGAAATGAGTTGAAGATGATGAATCAAGTTGAAGTTTAGAAAGTTTTGCCTGGTCTTTTTTTTCACTAAACTGTTTTGTGCCCCGAAGATTTTCGTTGATTATCACCGATATTATTGAACTTGTAGATTTTTCTTGAAGAGGTTCCATTATTTGCAATTTGACTGCTAAAGCTTGTTCAACAGCTAATTGTCGAGTAAAATCACCGACAACAATAGATTCATAGTATTTTTTCTCTAGAAAATTGATTTCTGTTTGTAAAATTTGTATTTTTGAGTCGATAGGATCAAATGATGATGAAATCTGCTGAATAAAATCTGTTTGAAAATGATTCCTTTCGAATTGCGGTTCTTGTTCAATGGATGTTTTTGTTTCTAATTTAAATAACTTCGTTGAACATGGTATTATTGAAGGTAATACTTCTTGGTCAGAATGTAGGCCATGTAGTAATAATAAATTAGAAGGTATATGTTTAATAAAACGTTCATATTGAACAGATTGAATGATGGCGTCTATGGCTAAATGAAACAATAGAAAGAGCTCTCTGGCAGCTAATCGTAGGCGATGGCATGTCTTGCAAACCTTTCTGTTTGAATTGTTTGATAAGGTCGTAGTTGTTGTCTTGTTCTGGATTTAAAATAACTATTGATTGAAAATGATGGACTAGTTCATTTATAATCTTTTGCAGTTTAACAATTAATTCATCATTTTGTATATGTCTATTTTGCTGTCGTACAAGATCTTCCATTTGTTCACGAGCAAGACTATCAAATAGTGAATATTGTCGAGCAGTGGCGATTTCATCTTCAATATATTTTAATTTCCTCTCATTGTCGACTTTTTGTTGATCTAAAAACTGTTGATAGATCTCCAAGTGATGGTACGTTTTGATATCGAGCGTAGAATCTAGATCATTGCTAATTTGTTGGATTTTCATTGCATAAAATTCGTGATGAATATTTAATGGCTCGATTTTCGATTGCTGTACATAGGCATTTAATGAGCTCAACTGAGATTCCTGAAATAGAAAGAAAAATCGAAAGTCTTAAAACATTGATCGTGTTTGTTCAATTCTCCAAAATTAGGGAAGCCGTCGCTAACGCGCCACTCCTCCGCCCATCGTGACCAATGCAGTGATGGTATTTACTTGACTGATCGACTTTATTCTTGAACGTTGCTTTAATTCTTCTTTCTTTTTTAAAACATTCAGTTTTCGCAATAATTCATTTTTTGTTGTATCGAATTCTTGCAAATCTTTCTTCAGTGTTTTCCGATTCGTACTTAATATATCGCGAATCGAGCGAATATTTGTTTTCGCTGGAAGATTAATAAGATACTTATTCACTAGTATTTCATATAACCGATCAAATTTTGAATAGAGAAAATCATATTGTAAATTTTTTACATTAATTGTTTCTATTTTATTTAATAAAATTTTGAATTTTTTTATAAATTTTGATAATTTCTTATGATTATTTATTTTTAGTTGATTTTGAATAAAGATTGACTGTTGCGAATAAAAGTTTTCCTTATCACTAGATTTCGTCTGAAATTGTTCCAATTCATCGAATAGCTCCTTTCTATATTGTTCAATCATATTCAATTTATTCTGAAGAAATCGAAGAATAAAATTAAACATATAAATTAATTTTTCATTTTTCGTTTTCAAATAATTAGGCATTGGCATTTGATTTATGTTGTACGTGTGTCTTATTTCTTTATGAAGATCTTCAATTTTTATTGTTTCCAATGAATCAGCTATTAATAGGATACAAGAAAAACATAATTTCATAAATCGAGTGTGCGATCTAAGGACTTACCCATTTTTTGATGCAGATCATATTGCATTCGTTCAATTTTGTCGTACAAACTTTCTGTATTCTTTTCACGTTCAATTTCTTCGTTAATTCGCGTATTTAAAAATTGTGTGTATTCAAATCGTACTTGTTGCAATTCTTTTAATTTATCAGATTTGTTCTGAATATTAATTAATAGACTTTCAAACTTTTCCTGAATTAGTTTTGCTCGATTTTTAATGCCTAGGAATACGACGTAAATCAGTCGATCATTTATAATTAGAAAAATAAAAGTTAACCTGTAAGAACAATAGGTCGAAGTTCATCAATAAGTTGATTATTTTGTGTTAGATTTTCAACTTGTGCCGTTATGAATGGATCATTAAGTTCAATAGATATTTTAGTTATTTCATGCATAAGATCATTTTCAAGCTTTTGCATTTCTGTTGGGTCGATAGTTGGAGTTTTCCGATATTCAAGTAATTTTTCATCTAATTCTAAAAATGTTTTCATTGACTGAAGAAGATGATCCATATTCGATTGTTCACGTTTATAATCAGTTTCATCTATTGATAGATCATCATGTTCTTTGTCTAGAGAGTCAAACAATAAATAAAATTAATATATGCAAAGCATCTCAGTTCACCTAGGATAGGTACAATAAGTTCAATAATTTTCTCGTCGATATTTAATTTATCAAAACGATCTTCTATATAAGCATTCATAAATTCATATTCATCGGAAATAGTTTTTAAAAGTTCATTTTTATTTTCAGATGCTTTCAAATTATTGAATAATTCATTACGTTTTCTTGCAAACAAATCTAATCTATTCGATATTTTGGTTTCAATTGCATGTCTTATTTCTATTCCAGTATCAGATAGTTCGATAGGTTCAGATACAATTGTTTTCTCTTTATCGGCGATATATGTTAGAATTTTTTTCGTTATAAATTCTGCTTGTTGCATAGTAATTTGATATTGTTCAGATGGAATTAAGCTGTTTTCATCAGTTTTTTCGTCGTATAAATAAGTAACAAGATTACAGTCGGAAATATCCAATGATGAAGAAATATGCTCTAGCAGTTGAATTGGTTTCGATAGCACTAATTGATCATTATTATCGACAACAAATAATGCTTGTCCTGAAAAGATTCTCATTGATTTAGTTGAATAAAAGTATTCGTAAACGAGTTTTTCTACACAACTGCTCGCATACCGGAAACAGGTTTTCAAAACTTACTTGCTGGTAATTTATCAAAGGCAACTGCTTTTGTATTTAGTCTTAGAGATCTATTGATTGGATGGCGTGATGATGCTTCAATCATTTGAACAACTTGTCGATTATTATCAATATATTCGAATTCAATCGATTCCAATGTCAATTGTTTAAAAGTAATCGGTTCACATAATGGTATTTCGTTTTTATCGACAATTGTCAATTCATGTTTATCATTTGAAATATGAAAACGATCGGATTCAATCTGTAATCTCATCAGGCTGAGTTTGTCTGAAATAGGCATGTTTTGTTCGTCGACAAGACATAAAAGTTGTTCCATTAAATTCCCTGAATCATCAACTGGAAGATATTTTAGTTTAACATTAAATGGAAAATTCAGATGATTAGAATAGTAACGAGCAGTTGTTATGTTTGATAAGTTCTTCTGAATTTCATTCGATTCAATATTTAATGCATGATGAATTTCTTCTAATTTCTCAATGAATTCGAGCTTTTCAGAATCAAGGCCAGCCACTTTGTCTATGTTCAATTTTATACTTTGTAGTTTGTCTTTGTTTGTTTTCTGTACTATATGTTCATTTTTAATAACTTGAAGACGGTCCGACTAAAAATATTCAATTAAAGAAGATTCTATTCTTACGTCGAATAGAAGATATAATGACTTACTAGATCTACTTTCAGTAAATCTTGTGGTATTATTTCTTCATTAATTGTTGTTTGGCGATTTTTCATGTTCGTTTCAATTGTTAATAAATTATCTCGAAGCAATGTTAAATCTTTATAAATTTCTGATTGCATTGGTTGCATAGATTGCCCAGATGTTTTTATTATCATCGATGGTCTATCGGGAATAATCTCGGTTAATGTTTTACCATTGAGAATTTGTTCTATAAATTGTAAATCCATATCGAGTGTTCGAATTGTTAATTCAAGATCTGTTGCCCATATAGGTTGAATGCTGAAATATTCTTGTTTTTGAATTTCATTAAAATCATTTTTATATTTATTGAATTGTTCAATTAAATCGTTACTAATTTCAGAGTCAATATTTAAGATTTGATGATGTACATATTTGAATAGGTCTCGATGATTTTTTTTCTCGTCTAAGAGATCTTCTATATGTTGAATTCGATGTTGAAAAATATTTCTAAATTTTGAATTATTTAAATCATTTCTATGAAATAAATCTAATTCATTATGAAAATAATCGATCAATTGATTGGTCAATAGTTCATAATTATTATCGTTGTTTCGAATAGCATCCGATATTTGTTTGTTATATTGAAGCCATTGATTCACATTGAGACGAACTGAAACAAAAAATCAGAATCGAAAAAAGAAAATCGAAAAAATAATTTACGAAGTTCGATATTTCGTTTTAATGAAATCTGTTCGTTTTCTGTCATTTGTTGGAATCTATGTTTACATAGAAAAATGAAAGAGAGTTTTTTTTAATTGACGAAAAAGAAAGAATTTACAATTCAAGGGAAATAAGTTGAAGATCTTCAGTAGTATTCGAGATAATTGGTTTTGATTCTACACGTTCACGTGCTGATGCTGGATGAAGCTCGGCGATGTCTTGCACATTATTATCATGTGTTATTGATGATTGAATGTTTGTGTGAATCGAATCTGGCGTGAAGTTTTTTCCGAGAGATGACCGTTCTAAAGATTGACTTTCATCAGTGTGAAATTTCTCTATTTCGTGAAATAATGGATCTTCCGGACTGTTGACCGAAAGCAACTGTTTTTCAATCATATTCGAATATTGATTTGTTTGTTGTTTAATATCTTTTTTTTCGTCTTGGTTATTATCGAGTTGTTGTTTGTAATAATCTTCAATGTTTTGCTCTTGAGCAAAGTCTAATTCTATAAAAGCTCGGTTTTGATGATCAGAAACATAAGGTACAAGTCGTTCAGGACCAAGAATGGAAGCATCGGGAAAGAACTGCTCTATTAGTCGTGGTTGGTCTTTATTTATGCCTTGTTGTTGAAGGTCATCTAGATCAGTGAGCAATTGAAGATAATCTTCATCAATAGATGTTTTGGATTTGAATGAATCAATTTGAAGTTTTTGTTTCTTGAGTTTTTCTCTATAAAAATAGAGTACCATTAAAAAAATCGAAGAGACAAGGATTCGTTTTTTTTACAAATACGATTGTTTCCGTTGTTCACTAGTATCGAATACTTCATTAAATGAATCTAGATCGAATTCTTCATCATTTGGAGATTGAAATTTGAATTGATTTTGTTCTTCTTCCGCTGTTTCTGTATCTCTTGGATCTGTTTCATTCTTTTGCGATAACAAATATCGTTTATACCATATATCATTGAGAAGTCTTAAATCACGTAAAAATTTCATATCATCATGACTAAAATCAACTAGCAAAAAAATGCAATAGTTTAATTTTCGCCAATGAACCGATTACACTTGCATTCAAGTTGTAATGCATTGAGAGCATTGAATGTATTTATTGGATGTAAACGTAGATAACTTCTAATTGTTGCCGTCATGCCAATGATACGTTTGAGACGATCGAGTTTAAGAACATGGTTGAGTAATTGAGAAAGATCAACTGGGTTTATACATAATTTATTTTCTAGATTATTTTGCACATGAAATTTCTTCACTAAACCATTTTCTTCGGATTTAGAAATCTCTTTGAATATGTTCACCTAAATCAAATTTGCTTATATGAGAATATTTCTGAAGTGGATCTCACAATCGGGAAAACAAGAGTTTATCTAAGTGAATATTTACATTAAGGCAAAATATTGGTTTTGCATAATATTTAATTTCATTCACTTTTGCTAATTTACTAACAGTCAGCAAATCTATAAGATCTTCTAATGCAACCATACCATAACGAATAAGCAATAATTCGAAATCAGCAAGAAACAAAATTTGATGCTGTTGAAAATGTTTCATTAATGGTTGGTCAGCAATGGAACCATTTTCTTTCAGTAATAATGATATATTATTTGTAATATGTCGTATGAGATCTAATGAATTATCTGAATCGATAATATGAAGTTCACGTTTAAATTCAAGATAGATATTTCGACTCCAGCCACCTTGTTCAACTAGTAAATGTAATTGATTTCGAGGTATTCTTGCTTGGATATAATTATGACGTAGGGAACGTAGATTCGGCGAGGATTCAATGCTTAGATCATAGGTCAAACGAGATGCTGTTTTAGAATTTGGTTGTGGATTTTCATCGGTTTTTAAAAGAACATGATCAACTTTTCGTTGAACTTTTTCTTTTGCTATTCTAGCATGTTTTAATTGATCGCCTAATAAATTCGTTTGTATCACTTGACGACGACGCATATTTTGGCTCAGTGCTAATTCAAATTGTGCATTTGTTAACGATTTTTGTTTAAAGATATTAGTTAAGAATTGTTCTTGAATAACTGTTTTATATTCATTGGATTGGCCTTTAAGTGTACCTTCATTAAGATACTAAATGGAAAGAAAGAATATGTGATTGATTTCATAGGCAAAATTACTCATACATCTTGTAGAAAGAAGTCTTTTGCTGATTGACTTATTTGTTCAATGGTAAGAAAACCATTGCGAAGGATATGTTTGAAAATTATATTAAACTTTTCATTTTCCTGGTTTGTTTGATGTTGATTGAGAATTTCTCTTATACTAGTTTCATCAATATAACCTTCTTTTTGAATTAATTTAATCAACATATAAAAAAGAAAAATTGCTTGACTTTCCGGTGTGCTAGATTTTAATTCGTAACATTGATTCATGGTGTACTCATTAGTAAGTGATTGTGAAATGACTTTCATGCGACGTAATTCATTGACGATATCTCTAAATATAAAAATCTAAATTAAGAACTTTCAACAGCAAACAGAAACCAAAGCGAATATACAATCGACATGGTATTGGATACGATTCAAGATATCGATTTAGATCATGAATACTTAATGGTGGTGTTTGCTTTTTACGAATTTTTAATAATAATTTAATCATTGCCAATTCTTTCTCGATTACTAATTGAGCTTTGTAAAAAGCCACAGGTTTAAATCTATAGAATAATTGTCGTAATTGTTCATTCACCGTAGTACGATGATTGAAATGAAGAATATAATCAAATATAGTTAATATCACTGTTTGTTCTATTTTATTTCGAAGAACGGAATCATCAGTATACATTGATATATGTCGAGTGTAACAAACAGCTGTACTGCTTGTATCTTGCAAGTCTGATCCTGCTACTGAAATATTTGTGTCCAGTGTTTTGATAGTGGGAAATATATCGTGACAAATCTGTTGAATATTATCATGGGTTAATATCTGTTCATCTGCACAAATTTTAAGCACTTCCTCTGTTGACACATAGTAATCCGAATTCGATAATAGAATTTCATTGATCTGCTCAAAACGTTCTTTCCTTGAAATAATTCGAATAATAATTGTCGTTAAAAATATAGAATATTTCTCAATAGCTGGATCCAGAGTATGTAAATAATTCGGTGTTACTAGAAATAAGAACTTTGCTTTTTTTTAGAAATCTATCTAAGAACTAACAATTAGAAGTTTGTTGATCATTTTGATAGGGATCACGTGTATTATGAAACCTTGAATTATATGATGGTAATGTCAGTAAAATTGCGAGTATGCCAATATCAATGAGTTTAATATCTTCAAGATAATCAAGTTCAATAGGTGTAAAATATTCTACACCTAAAATGGACAGCATTTCGATGAATTGTTCGATTAACATCGATGACAGAAGAAATTTTTGTAAATTTTCAATACGTTTAAAACGTTTTTGTCGATAATTAATACGTTGACGAAACGAATCAACGAGAGTTTTGCATTCAATTCTAAATAAATACATTTGTTAACAATGCTTCTTTGGAGCTGTAAATAAGGAATTAACACTTACACTTGCTGTTTGGGAAGAATTAATGACGACATATCATCGAAATTAACTTCGCGATTACTGGATTTCAATAGACTTTTTAAATGTTCCCGCGGAATAATATCATGTACGGTCATCAAAGATAAAAGTTCATGTTCATATTCTGGATCAGCATAATCAACAAGAATAGAAGCTTGTTTATAAGTTAAATAACATCCAAGTTTACAAAAATGTTCAGTAATAATTTGATGCAGATTTTTCATTGTTAAATATTCCGGAGATATGTAATAGCTATCCGATTCTATGAAATAGAGAAATGCTTCGTTTATAATTCGACCATAGATTTACAATGATCTTCATGAATTTTCTAACCTAATGTATCATGAAGTCGCATTAGAAAATTGTTATAAATTCCGTCCAATGTATATTCATTGACGAACGTTTTTATTTCAATTAATGTTTTGACTATATTTTCATCTGTTAAACCCATCCAATAGAATATTTTACCACAATTTGGATCCAAATTAAAATAACGAATAAATTCTAAAAATGAATAAAAGACTAAATTTTCTTTCTATTTAAAAACCGACCATGAATCGACAACGATGATAATCTATTTTTAGATTCAATAAGATTTTTTGTAATAAAATCTCGACGTTCATCATTATTTAATATAGAATTAATATACGTTTCTTTGATTGTCTTAGCCCGTTGTGTTAAATATTCAATTAAATCATCTTCACGCATAATTAAAGTTATTTCAGCAAGTAAATCTGCATCACGTTTGTGAAAAAATGCTATAGATTCAAAGTGTTTCAATAGAGACGATTTTTTAATAATAATATCTTGTCTTGAATAAACAAGAAGTTCAGTTGTTGATATAAAACCAGATGATATTAAATCATCAAATATATCAACAATAGATACAAAACGAGGAGCTCTATTAAATTCATTGAGGAATGGTTTCAATATGGTGCCATGTGAATGTTCAGCAATCATTTTAAGTACTACACGTGTTGTACAACTATGTAAATTCAAATGCTGTTGAATTTTTTTACAAATCTATTTGAAGATAGAAGATGCAAAAATAAATCTTTTTTCGTTTGCTTATTTTATTTATCTACTTTATTTAAACGATCATCAATATCTTCGATTGCATGAAAATCAATATAGAATTGAGATAATGTTTCTATCGTCATCGTTTTTTCTGCTATCAATGTATTTGTATTCTCCTGTGTTAACCATATTTGAGATATTATAGCACGTAGATCGTTGACAGTGATTGGTTTTGTTTTTGATCTTTTTTCTAGTTGTGATAGGTAGGGTTTTCTAAGCGTTGCCATCACTTGACTTGTAGACACTATTTAAAAAGATAAATATATTGAAATCACGTAGAATTACTTACTAAAAGCATTTAATTTCTTAACTGTTTGATATAATTCATTTAATTTCATAGGAAGTATTAATTTAAATTGTATTTGTTCATTATTCATATAACTATCACTATTACGTGCTCGATCAAAAATTAATTTCAATAATTGTCTAATAGCATCTTCACGTACAATATATTTAATCATATCGTCTATTTGATTTGCTGTTAACATTGATGAATAAATAAGATTTGTATCGAGATCAATAATATCATTTGCATCTAAATAGTATTTCATGCTTTCAATTGTATCATACGACGTATGATACATCTCACCGAGAATTTCAATAAATTCATCCGACGATAAAGACATTCTTGTACATGTACGTAAACGTATTTGATGATAATTAGAATCATTTATTATTGTAATCACATCACCATACGAACACAGAGTTCTTGTTTGCGTACAGAGCGAGATTTTCTGAATCATGCGAGATAAAATAATTGATTCTGGTGGGCCACCTGTACTTTTGCCAGTTAAACGATTATCAACTAAAATTAAGTCTAATGCCATACGAACTCGAAGTCGTTCGCGATTATTTGTGTAGCCTTGCTTTTCTGCCAGAGTACGTTCTAGAAAAAAATAAAATGGTCGTTTAAAGGATTTTTGCAAATGCTGTTTTTACTTTGTATGGTACTCATGAGTTCATCGGCTGGAGATGTCGATTGATCAGCTAGCATGACAATACCATTTAAAACATTTTCAATATCTTTCTAGAAGTATTGTTTTTAGGTTTTGGATATGAAGAAAATCTGTTCTTCTTTTAGTTACTCTATTAGTCAATGATGTTGCCATTGCTTGTACACCATTCACAATTTTGTCGATCATTGTTTGTTCGATTGATATAAAATGATCGGGATAATAAAATTCGTTATATGTATTTTCGTAGGGTAGTATTTGAATTGTTCGATTTTTCTTTTTTCTTTTTGTTCTTAATTGTTTTGACTGATTTTGCTCATTAGTTATTTTTATTTCATTTTGTAAATATTCGTAAGTAACTTCTTCATGGATTATAAATTTCAGTAGAGCTTTTATTTTATCGAGTAATGGGTTGGTGTTCTATCCAAAATGCTATAGTATCAACTACATATGTATATTAAAATCTCTCAGATGCATACTTTATGAGATTGATTTTCATGCTGTTGATGAATTCTTTTCATTGATTTTGTCAGACTTGCTTGATTTTCTGGAATCATAACTGATGACGAATCATATGTATCATTTGATTCCATGTGGCATAATGATTTAGCTTCAATCATTAGAATATCTTCTTCTTCGTCGTCTATTGATTTTATTGCAGATGACATTTTTTTCTTTAATAAATTTAAATATCGTTCATGATGTCTGTAATTATGAATCATATCTTGAAGAAGTCGACTATTTCGAAGTTGCATTTCAACTACTGGTGGTAATTTAATTGATATACAATGAATATCAGATAATAGACGGCCAATAATTTTATCTGTGATTTCATAATCAGCATTGGTCTCTAAAATATCGCATTGGTAATATTCATACATTCAGATAATTGATCTGCAATTAGTTTAGTCATTTACTAGATCATTCATTGAATGAATCTATCAAAGCGCCAAATGATTTTATTTATCGATATGAATCTCAAATCTCGAAACGCTGATATAGAGTAATGTATAATATGCGGCACGAGATCACTTTTATTAGTAGATTCTGAAGTTCAATACACAGATGCAGTTTGAATAGAGCACACAACATTTCATTATAACCTTCTTATAAACTCACATGAATTCATTTTTGCTATAATGTTCACTATGAGTTGTGTCTGTGCCTAGATTTATTCGATATTTTCCCATTAGAACAATAAAATCACGTTCAGTCAATCTTTACTGAATGAATCTTTTTCTTCATCGAAGGGATAAGACTACGGGCAGTCCTTAAAATGACACCAAGTTCTAAGAGGGTGTGGGTGTGGGTGTGGATAGAGACAAGAGTTACTCACACCCACACTCACCCTCAAAATATAAATAATATCGGACTCTAAAATACATTTCGTTTTTGTTTAATTTGGTATTATTTTATTTTAATTTCTTTTTGTTTCTTTTTAAATGCTTTTAGTTACAGACAGCTCCTTTTAACATCTGTTTTGCTTTTCAGTGCTATTGTTTGATTTGATATGAATTTTCGAAAACATTATCTACGGTATTAGCATCCAAGATGATTCTTCTGACATATCTCTAGCGTTCCAGATAAGCGTTCCAAAACCCTAGTTAAGACCTCTGACATCCTACTTCGCTTTCCAGCATACTCTGTAACGATTCTGGCATCCGATGAAAGGTTTTCAGCATCCAAGGCGAGACTTCTGACATTCCACATCGGACTTGCAGCATACAAAGTAGGACCTCTGCCATCTCAGGTAAGGTTTGTAGCACCCTAGGTAAGACTTCTGGCAACCCAATTTGGATATCCAGCATCTCAGTTATGGCTCATGGCATCCAAGGTCAGGCATTCAACACGCCATCCGTAGGTTCTATCATCTGAGAAACTAGTGCTAGTAAGTAATGCAGAGTTCTCAAAGTCTCGGCTGATACTTCTGTTGTTGTTAATAAGGCGATGGATCATCAATGCACAGTTGATGTGGTTGGTATTAGATTCCACCCATTCTCCCCCAGCTATCTAAAATGTAAGGGGGATATAGAATTTAAAGCTTTCTACTAGCTACTGTGTATTCATGCAACTATATGTTTAATTGAAGTGTAACAAAATAGTTATGTTAATTACTGATTCATGATAGTACTATGTATGTTGTCTTGTAATTATTTAATATTTTAGAAAGTATTAAATTTTAATATAAGTTTTTCTTTAACAAACGTACTGATGTATACAATATAAGGTTCGTTACTGAAGAAAGATGTCGCCAATGTAGTTACTTTCATGCAACAGCATGGATTGATTTACAGGCGAATAAAAAGCTTTGTAATACATTAAATGATACTAGAGCTCTATACAACTGATTCAATCATATATTTCATTCTAGCTATTATAGATTGCTATGATGGTCCCTTCTTAGAACAAGATAACTTTATATATATATATATATATGTAATTATTAATCATCTGAAATATTGATATGATATTTACCTCTTCCACCCGCCTACCTCCACT